ACCCGACGTCCTTATCACACATAACAAGGAAGGTCAAGAGCACAGAGCAAATGGCACTAAGCAGCGCAATGCACATGTGATATCGCAGGTTCCGGAAGTGTCGATCTGCAAAAATACAAAGCGAGAAACAGATCATCATATTGATCCACCTACAATTAATTACCGTCAATAGAGACAGACATTCAAATACGTTATAATAAATAAGCCACCATTTGTTAACAGAACAAAGTTTTCGTGAGAGTAAGACCCTTCCGTCTGGAGGGACGAGGACCTTCCTTGGACCTTTCCTTCCGAGAAACACTTAAAAATGGACCACTTTACTACTTACAGGTCTGAGCTGCTGAATGAATTACATTACACCAGTCAATAAAATTTTAAACTCACGCCCTCACCGTCGAATGTTGACGGATGACCTGATCTATCGCTGAATATACATATAGGATGGGAAGTTGGCACATCTGAAATATTGAGGGGTTCATACTTATTTCAACTCTAGTGGTACTAGATATTATTAAAATTAGATTACTGCCAGATGTTCTACAGGAGATGAAGTGGGTGCAACAAAACTTTTCGACTTGAAATAGAGCCCGCAACTGCAGTTAGGAATAGCACATGGTAGTAAATGCATACACAGACAAAGAAAATAGAATTCACAATTACCTTGCTAGTTAGAATACCTAAATCGACTGAATCGTAAATCGGGAAAGCAAATTCAACTCAAGTTACTTTATCAGTTGCTTGACAATCGGTGACAGGCTGACAGGCTCATTCGTGTGTCCGTCATCCCGAGTTTAAAGGTGGAAGGAGAAGGGACAGTATTTATCTGTGTTTGATGAAGTTAGGTACAGTGAGGTGGATGCCGGTGATACGAATCACGAAAGCAACTAAGGAGATCAAATATTGGATTAATTATTTCATTTTCAAAGTAACGGCATGGTCGACCGTTGCCGTTGCTTGCGGGTTGGCTTGGTGATTTGAATTGAATTGGTGTTCAAAGTTGGATACCGGAAAGTTGGGCGGTGGACCGTTCCACCTAGCACCTGTTGACTTTTCATCTGGGTTTCGTATGAAAATGAAAATCAGCCTCTAAAAACATTTAAAAACGCCAGTTTTTGTACTTTAATCCCTGCTTGGAATTATTCTGCTGATAATTCTCTTTGATAATTCTTTTGATAAATATATACGTCCCCTGAAGTATCGGCAAGGAACGATTATTCCAGGAACACCTTGACAAGTGTTAGGTTATGTTATGTTTTGTTTATATTATATATTAGTGTTTATCTCCCACATTTGTTCAAAAGAGCTCTACTGGTTCTACCTTTTTCCTTTTAGTCCTTTTACTCAAAAATTGGCACAATCAGTAAGTAATTTTTCATCATCACACCCTTGCGTACTTCAATTCAGTCTAATGGCATTTATTGATTCCAAGTATTCAAATTAAAAATTGAGAACGCTCTTCTTGCCCAAATAGTTTGCCGACTGTTACCTACTGTGAGACAACAGCTCTTTCACCCGTCCGTTCAATATACTGACTTATAGAAAGGCATCCTCAGTGAGTTTAAAATTTTATTGACTGGTGTAATGTAATTCATTCAGCAGCTCAGACCTGTAAGTAGTAAAGTGGTCCATTTTTAAGTGTTTCTCGGAAGGAAAGGTCCAAGGAAGGTCCTCGTCCCTCCAGACGGAAGGGTCTTACTCTCACGAAAACTTTGTTCTGTTAACAAATGGTGGCTTATTTATTATAACGTATTTGAATGTCTGTCTCTATTGACGGTAATTAATTGTAGGTGGATCAATATGATGATCTGTTTCTCGCTTTGTATTTTTGCAGATCGACACTTCCGGAACCTGCGATATCACATGTGCATTGCGCTGCTTAGTGCCATTTGCTCTGTGCTCTTGACCTTCCTTGTTATGTGTGATAAGGACGTCGGGTAGAGAATCAATGGCTACCTTAATATCATCAATGATCGGAGTAAATCGTGAAATTATTTAAGCTTGATTTTTATCTCATTCATTGCTGTCGAGCGATGGCCGATGATGTCGGATCTTTTGAAAAATGCATTTTCTCCTAGAAGGAAAAATAAACTGAAAAATGGTGTTGTGTCAGTGCTTTTCTGAGAGTGCTGTTCTGTATTGATCAGCTATTACATCATGGTGCTAATTTTTCACTTACGCTAAAGAGTGCTTAAGATTTTTTTTACAATGCACCCATAGTGTTTTCAAGTGTTTCTCTGTACTTACACCAGTTCTAATTGGAAATTTGGATTAATTGTTGTCAAGTGGATTTTCCTGACCCAGTGGATTACTGATTCGAGCAAGTTGGTGAGTGGTTTTTGTTCATTTTCTATTTTATGGAGCATGTTCACATAACATATGTCATCCGTTGTTACCTTGCATGATACAAATGTAGCTGGAGGATTCTCCTACACATGCGTAGTGGAAGATGATGACTATTCTGAGAATATTCTGAGTTTAGCTGCTGATACAGAATATTCTCTGATTATTAAAATGCTGCTCAAAATGTAGGAACATTATCGGAATATTCTCAGAACATTGGGTGCTATCTGGCTGGTGTGGCAGTTTCACCGTCGGTATGCTGTAATTAAATCATAGTCTGAGGCATAATGTAAAGGTGATGTTAATATGTAGTTGCACAACTAAGTGTCCCAGAGTTGTGTAGTCACATGTCTAGCGGGTAAAGGTAGGTACATAAACATATGCACCTATGCTTGCGGATACCCACTATTGCTCTGCAACTACACATTCATGGTGACTACTAACCGGTGACCACCTTGCAACTACCTTGCGAATACACTGCGCCTACTGATGACTACCCTTGACAACCATGTGACTACACTGCGACTTCTTACATATGCACACGACTATGCTATGTAACATTTCTTGTTGACGTGATGTATAGAGGCGATAACTCGAGTCTTCTATAATCGACTCTCCGCGCATCCTGACCCCGGAGGTGGACACGCGGCGACAGGAGGTTGTCTCAGTAAAATTAAGTTTACTCGCAAACCCCTAGGCTGATTTTCAAAAACTTGAGCTTGTTTTAAAGCTTAGAGTATGCATAATATGTGACTTTTTACCAATTTGATTTATCTCTTTTCGTTCGGAAGATACAAAGTAGGGAAACTTACTGTTTGGATGACCCTCGTATACTCCCAAAAAACAAAAATTAGATTTTTGTACAAAACAGCCCAATCCAAAAAATCTCACTATCTAATTACTTAAAAAAAGAATAAGAAAAAAAATCAGACGCCCAAAAAATATAATGGTAGTACCGTTTGGATTCATCATTTAAAAGGAAATGATATCAAAACGGCCCAATTTTCTCCTTGATGCCGCTGCAATATTCTATACACACCAAAGTTTTTCACGCAAAAAATTAAATACCTATAAGGTGTGATGATCTGGAACACGTTTTGATCCATCGCTTTAAAGGAATATGATATCGAAACGACCCAACTTTTCTTAAATATTCCAATCTCTGAGCAATAACTCTATCTGAGACCTTCCGACTCATCGCTGAAGAGACCCTGATAATTCCTTGACCCTTAGTGTATCTCCTTGTTTGGATACCAAAGAAGTCCGTATGAAAACTGTAATGAATTTCTTTTCTTTAAAGAAATAAAAAACAAAAAACCGTCATACAATTGAAAGAGGTCAGAAGAAGAAAAAAGGAAAGGGCCCTTGTGTGTGCTGCACACACATGGGCCGGCACATAGGTTTTATGCAATCCTTACCTCCACAACAATTACTGAAGATTGACTTTCAAAACGTCAATAAACGACATAATTATTAATTTTTCTCCCTAATATTAGTTTCGAATTTCCAAAAAAGTAATTTTAATTTATATAACGCTGATTCAGAATATCTATACGTACTTGTATAGGGTTTTTCCGACGGTTATAGCTATAGGTTTTTCTACGCAAACACGCCCGCTTTACGCGGCCGAGCGTTTTGCCGGGCTTGAATCAGCTCATCAATTCCATCATAATCGTTCTTTGGGGTCCAAAATTTGTCGTTAAAGGTTAATAACATTTATAACATTTAATGAAATTTAAAAAGGGCGGGCATTACGAGTAGAACTGAGCGTATTCTATCCAAATATTGCTGGAGTTTTTGGAGTTAACCAGCAGGAGAGCTAAATGAACCGCAAACCGTGCAGGCGAGCCCGATTAAGTTTCTCAGTGTATATCTAGTTTTAGGCAGCAGCCACCCGTCGTTGTCAACTTTTTAGGTGGAGTTTTTCAGGATTGGGCCGGGGTGGCTGCCGCCACCTAGAATTACACAAACTAGGAGTTTCGTACCTCTTTAAATTTGTTACTTCAGTAAACATAAGTTGCCAAAATTCGTGAAAATAATTACTGATCAAACTTAATTACCTAATCCCCCAAACTACTCTTAGCCAGCAATTATACGATGAGCGGCTGCATGTGTTCAAAAACGCCGTTTGGCATACTATTTTGGTGAATAGGGGGCTAGGAATGCAACGTCCAATATAAATTCAAAAGTTCTATACAAACCGGGAGTTTCGTACCTTTTTTTTGTTACTTCAGTAAACATATTTTGCCAAAATTCGTGAAAATAATTACTGAATAACATTAAGTACCTAATCCCCAAAACTACTATCAGCAAGCTATTATATGATGAGCTGCCGTGTTCAACAACGCCGTTCGGCTCACACCGTCGGTGAACAGAGGGCGAGGAATGTACTGTTCAAGTATTGCCTTTAGCGGGAATCCAGTACGTGGCGCTCCATCGTATACGTAGGTACCTATACTCTATGGATATAACGGAAAATACCTACAGTGACGTCGCCGTTAATTGTGTCTGTTTACTTTGGCCGTATCACTTTCTTGCAAAATACTCGCTGGATCCAAACAATTAAAATAACATACGGCCTCTTTCAATACTATAACTTAGAAGACATCGGTTCATATCGATTTTTTGTGACGTAACACTATTGGAGCGGCGGTCATTCAGTCGACCAGCAGATCAATGGCTCCGCCTCCCGCCAGCCTAGCTAAGATACGAGCTCTATTCTAGGCAGTTTCATCCGTTGATCATGCGACGAGGACTTCGAAACAATTGTCATCTCTAATCTGGCGTTTCGTCTCTTCACCGTTCGAGTATGTTTGATTCCATGCGTCGAGTCCACTCGAGTCCGAACGACGATCACGGGAATGTTATCCCTCGCCGAGTGACCGAGTCTGTGAGTGCTAAGTTTAGCTGAATCCAGTCGTTTTTTCTGGTGAACCATCGTAAAAATTAGGTCAGTGTTACTTTCTGTCTCGTCATTGTTACGATCGCATAAAAATGTGATAAATTTTAAAAGACTGCATATAAGAAAAAGCAATATGGAAATGTACAGATTTTACCTCTAGTCATGGGAGGAGCTAGGGAGCAATCGAAGGGGGGAGACTGCCTCCACCGAGAATCTAATCCCCCCTCCTCAAGAAATTTGAGGGATTGGGCAAAGTGAGTGCATGACATATCTTGAATTTCTGCAATTGTACCTTCATGGTTCGATTTTTTCACGAGATCAGCTCCCCCTCGGAGCTGGATGAGTCTCGCAAATTCCCTTTGGTGAGACGTCTCTTGGTGCCTCCTAATATTTTCTTGATGAGGTGCCCTTCGCCTCGCCCTGAAAGTTCTAAGTTCCACCCATGCTACTAGTTGATTTGACCTTCATCGAATGATTTTCAAAAACTCCTAAACAGCCTGTTAACAATTATTTTCTAAGGAAGCCTTTTTGGTTATTTTTTAGGTGAAATGTACGTCTAGTATGTAAAACATAGAACTAGCGGTAGAGCTGCTTCGAAAAAAATCAATTATTGCCGAATAATGTGTAAATTTTTTTCATAAAACGGATTTATATTAAAAATGTTAGAAGTGAGTTTTTTATTGAATTATTATTGCGACAAAGAATTGTTACGTAAAATCTTTGTGTCCCATTCCATTATTCTGTGAATGATTTTGAGTACCATACCTTAACCTACACTTTCCTTAGAAGTAATTAGCAATTCATTTAATGTTCATTGTCTTCTTACATCAAAACTGACTATGAAGCCCGAATTTTTAATCCTTTGATAAATAGATTTACGTACGAGCAACAAAGAGGGAACATCTTACAACAGTCAGCAGGCATTTTCATGCAAAAAACATGATGCAAAATGTTGAGATGTGCGTATCTACTCGAGAACGACAAGTGCGGGTGAATAATATCATCAATGTTGCGTAACTCAATCATACAGAGTTGCTGTGCAACGCGATCGTTACATTTATGCTCATTTTCTGGGGAATCGGATTCTGCAATGAAGATTAGTAGCTGCAGTTCGCAGCTTTAAAGCATTATCATTGAAAAACATTCTTTCGTCATTTTTTTTCATGTGAAAACTTTTTCACGAACAAGTCTTTTAAAAATAATAATTTTTTAAAAAATGTTGAACATACATACATACATAAAGTCGCGATTATAGCGCCGCCTCGCGCTCTGCGACGCCCAATCGCCATTGCCCCCTATCCTCCCAGAGATCATCAGGCAATTGGCACCTTCTGATCTCCTCCTCCACCCCTTGTCGCCAACCTTTCACAGGACGTCCACGCCGTCGCCTTCCGGGAGGAACCCAATCGAAGACCTGCTTGGGCAACCGATCATCTGCCATCCTTCGCACATGTCCATACCAGACCAACTGCTTGGACCTGATATCGTGCACGATGTCCTTTTCCACACCCATTATCTCGCGTACCCTTTCATTGCGGATACGCTCTCTTCTCGATATCCCAGCAGACCTTCGCCAAAAGTCCATCTCGGTTGCCCTAAGCATGTCTTCAGTTCTTTTCTTAAGTTGCCAGACCTCACTCCCGTAAGTTACGATACTCTTCACGATGACGTTGTAAATTTTCCTTTTGGTCTCCTTGGAGATACTCTGGTCCCAGAGAACCCCATTTAGCATCGCGATAGCTTTCCTGCCTTGCACATTCCGATCTTTAATGGCCCGATCCAAATTTCCGTCCTCACATGTTGAACATATTTTTTAATATTTTAGGTATTAAAAAACTACTTTAGCTCTTTTAAGAGTTTATTAACATTTCAAATTTTCTTTTACTCACATTCTACCTTCACACTGTTCTCCCCCTGCCCCTTTTCTTCTTTTTTTCTTTCAAGATCCTCTTTCTCATCTTCCTCTGTTTTGTTTTCTCTTCTTTTTCTGCCCTTTTTTCTTTTTTTCTTTTGTTCTTCCATTCAACTCTATCAGACTAGGGCTTACCAAACCGAAATAAAAACCTATCGGTACATGACTTCAACTGAATGTACTTGCATCCAAAGGAACTAGATCCATTGTGACTTGAGCCCTATCATGCATGTGTTCTTATGGGTCTCAGGGCTCATGTTAAAATGGATATCGTTCCGTTTCATTCGATTAGCATCCGACCCAGCCTACTTTTACCAAACCTAGGTGTGGTAGCCATGAGATGGGTCCTGCTGGCGCTGACAGCATCATGTCTGGCAATCGGGTGTCCCGCTCACGACATCCTTGTCTTCCTCCCGCTTCCGATCTGGAGTCACTACGTCCAAGTGGAGCCCATCTTTCACGCTTTGGCAGAGCGCGGACACAACGTCACCGTGTGCAGTCCATACCCGCCCAAAAAACGGACGGAAAACTTCAACCACATCCTGCTTGGAATGGAGAAATGGACGGATTTGATGGGTTAGTTATTGTTGTTGTTTATTTCCCATGTCTGTCGCTTTATCAGACGTAATCTGAGAAAATTGCCCCGGTAGCATTGGCTGCTCAAAAAAAGCTTGAAGCTTGTATTTTTCAAAAATGAAAGCTCTTAGAAAGTTGTTAAAATATCCGAGTTAGGAAACCCATTCATATCTTTTTCACGTAAAAATGTCATCTTGCACTGAAACAAATGTTTAATCACTTTTTGTAGTGAACTTCAACGTGCCCGGTTTGGGCCGGTAGTCCTAGACTCGGAAGGATCGGGCTTATGCTATTACACATGATGGTCATGATTAACTGTGTATTGAATCAAATACCCTTTTGCTTGTGCTCAAACTGCATGTAGTTGAGAAAATCTTGACTCTTTTGGTAAAACCTGATGTATGTCACATCTATCTCATGTGTCCTGTTGACAACGAAGAGCTCGATGCAGAAACGGCTTTTTTCGCCCCCTCCCCTGGAATTTCTTCAAACTTCGTCACTTATACTTGAACGATCCTTTTCCTAAATTTTCAGATCCCCCAAAAAATTTGGAGGGATCCAGAGAGGGGGGGGGGTGGAAGTCAAAACATTTGAACCTCGATATCACTCGAAAGAAGAAAGATGTCGAGGTTCGGTTTGAACTAAAAATCGTCAGAAAAAGTAAAAATCCCCCAAAAAATTTGGAGGGCTCCAGAGGGAGGGGGGTGGAAGTCAAAACCTGTGAACCTCGATAGGTATCACTTGAACGAAGAAAGATATTGAGGTCCAGTTTGGTCGAAAAATCGTCGAAAATTGCCTAATTTAAGATTCCAAAGATCAAAATCCCGAGATCACATTTTCAACTGAACACATGTGCTTTTTCCAGTTTTTGAGTCCAAAAAATCTCTTTCAAACAAAGAATACGCAGAGATCTCAATTATTTATTTGAATCGAAATCAGTTCTTCGAATTTTTCGTCTTTTTTTGCATTTAACGAGTCGTCCATTAAGGTGGGGAACCAAACAGTTCAAGAACTATGAGCGATTGAAGTTTCCACTCAACGCGCCCCAGCCAATTTTCGCGCGCCAATAAGGCGGCTTTGACTGTTATTAAATCAGATTGAATGTTCAAACCGTGCAAAATAAGTCCTTAGGGATTATTGAGGGTCGCTGAGTTCAAAAATTACAAATACTTTTAAAAAAAAAATTCCTTTTTTTTAAACTACAGCTCCGCACAGGCCCACTAAGCGGCCGGTCGGCGCTCAATGGGACCCCGAGCCTTCCGAAGGAATGGGGAATCGAGCAAGGAATTAGAACTCCGGGCTATTTTCAAATTGGTTACGATAAAAATTCACTTCCTTTTAGTTAAGTATATAATTCTTAGATGTTGAACGGCCCGAACAATTTTTCAGAGTCTTTTGAATGATTATGGACAGTCTCACGAAGACTAGAGGGGTTGTTCTATAATATTGTCCGCTCCAACAGCGCCTTGGCAATTTCTAGGAAGTTCATTTCTGAACTCATAACGAACTCTTCGAGGACATGACAGTGTACTTGATTTGAACATATTTATGCTAAAAGGAAGTGTAAAGTGCTGAAATAAATCAAAATTCATTTGTGTACGCATTGTTCCTCTATCCATTACTCTGTAACGTCACTTTGCAGCGTCATGGAACCCAGTGGACCAATTCAAGCGGTGGCACCCGGTCCAGATGGTCCCCGAGTGGAAGGCGCTAGGCGATCTCCTCGTACCGGAGATCCTGGGTTCGGATATCCTACGGGGTCTTCTTGGCTCCAAGTTCGACCTAATTTTCATGGAACTCTTCTTCGGGCAGGAGGCATTTGTTGTCCTAGGGCGCCTTTTTAATGCCTCCATCGTCAGTTACTCCTCCTTCGGTTACAGTCCCCAGGTTAGTGTAAATATTCATCCCATCAAAGCTGACCTAACTTAATCCAACCCGAACTATTGAACCTAACCGCGCCAGGTCAGCGTTCAGGATGAAAAGAAATTTTGAAAATTGATATCATTAATATAAACTTCGAAGGATTCTGCCTTTTTCTATTTCACTCGAGGGGAAGTGTCCCCTCCCGGACTCTCTTCCCCACCCGGTGACTGACGCTGCGCTGCTGTGCTGAACGGTTCAGCCTGAACCTTTCCCCTACGTCTGACCGTTNTTAAAATATAATTTCCCTGCGAAATGGTGTGGACCCAGCACCATTTCTCCACCTTGTTACATACATTTGGGCCACTTCTTGGTGGTTTTTTTTCTGATTTGTTATCGGTGGATTTGCGGGATTTTTTTGGATTGGTACACGAGGGTGTTTTGGCATGAGAAAAACGCACCTTTCATTAGATTTTTAAAATTCGGAATAACTTCAAAATGGCGGAAACTTGGTATTGAAGACGATTACGGATATGGATTTGTATGAAACTCGGGGTCCTGTTCGTTTCCAATTGGACAAAAATGACTCGTCCGCATTACCTACGTTTTTGAAATTCTTAATATTTTCAAAATGGCGGCATATGGCAAAAAAATTAGGTAAAATTAATAGTTTTCAATTGCAATCTGGCTATCAAAAGCGTTTTATAGTGTTTTCATGATCCCCGATTTTTTCTGATAGTTGATTGATACATTTGTCAGTTTTTCAAGCTACATCTGCGTGAATTTCCTCTTTAGTGGAGGCAAACTTTCTTGATTTGATTCTTGATTTATAATCTTTGTACTTGGTGAATATGTGATCTTTATTCCCGTTTTTGACACTGCGAAGGCCTAAAATACGGGAACCAATCAGAAATGCATGCCTTTACTTTCAGTACCTATAAAAGGACTCTATAGTTATCGGTGGATGCGAAAAGGTGGAGAAATTGTGCTGGGTCCACACCATTTCGCGGGGAAATCAAAGCCAAGAATTTTCAAAAATTATAATTAGAGTCAAAAATAATTTTTTTAACTCTAATATGTACCAGTACGAAACTGTGGGGGGATGCGTTCAGCTCAGGCAGTTTGTATTGGTATACTAGGGGGCCCTGCCCCCTGGAAGGCGCTTCGCGCCCTCACGCCCGCTTCGCGAGCCCTGTACACATAATATGTATGGGCAAAAATGTTCTTCCATTTGAATACACCATTTTGTGTTTAAACTGCATCGTATTTCAAAATTTTTAACTTAACTCTCAGAATTGTAAATTATGAGGAATAGCTAGATGTACATAATTTGGTATTTATGGAGGCAGTATATTGATGGCTAAACTCGGGAAACATGTATCTCAATTTGCAACGTCGTATACTTCTCGTCATATACTCACCTACTCAGGAAACTCAGTCAAATGTCACTCGCGTAGCCAGTGACCGGGGGTCCAGGGGGCGCAGTCTCTTGGCTAGCCGTGAAGGACGCAGAACGGCTAGTTTTCCATAAAACTAATGCCAGAATTATTTTTTTCATCCCATAAAGCCACCGAAAGCCAAGTTTCATACCAATCCGTTAACAAAAACGGAGATGTCATTTCCGTTATTTTGCACTTTGACCGGCTGCTATTTTGTCAAAAATCAAGATTTTGATTTGCGGTTTGCGCCAGAAATTTTCTTTTTTTATCTTCTTTCGATTGACGTTTCACAAAGGGGGGGGGGTGACATTTGAAAAAAAAGTTGGGGTCCGTAGCCCATTCCCGTGGGGAGGCAGGGGGGCAGAAAAGTTTGGAGGGCCCAAAAAATAGCTAACATTGATCGAAGAACATCCCCAAAGTTTCGTTTCAAAATATTAATTAGGTAAAATTAAAAAGGGACTGAACGGGACTTTTTGGACACACTGTATATATAAATTAACAATATATCTTCGAAATTATTGAGTAAATCAATAATAATGATACATTACAATAAAAAAGAAAATATTTGTTCAAAGTGTGATTTATGAAGATAAAAATTCTCAGGATAATCGAAGGAGTCAACAATAATAATACTTTACCATGAGAAGGAATACAACTTTGGAGAGATTACTTCACGATTTACCTAAGACAATCATTCGGTTTGCATTGACGAACTGCCACCAAACTTTTTTATTCCGTATGGCATACTAACCGTGGCTCGTATAGAAAGAATACACCTGCCGCTCTATACCGTCGCGGGAGCATTACTAACGATTGGTCTCCTTATTTCCTTAAAAGACTGATTTTTTAGTGACTGTGTCATTCAATAGATCGATATATCTTGGGTAGCCTATAAAGTTTGCAATCTCAAATGGAGAAGTATCTCCCTCCGATCTTCTACCGTCTCATAATTACAACAGCAAGCATAGAGATATCAAAAACGTAAAAGTTCGACTGAAACGATCTGAACAAGATTGCAAATTTTCGGCCATCCAAATTATACATACATGCTCTGCCCTGGAACATCAAACAACAACTCCGCGATGGTGAAGTAAAGAAGTTCTTCAATTTACTTCGAAATCTCCTCTTAACCAAGGCATTTTAAGATTTAAATGAATTTCTAACTTCAGCTGTTGAATAACATTCTACCAACCACCACTTAATATCGCATTGTACATTTGTGATTTATATTTTTAATTATTTTATATTGTAACTCCTAGTGTTTTTTGACCTCTGTGCCATAGCTCCAATAATGGGGCTTTCATATACGTAAATATAATACATAAATAAATAAATATATATGCTGGATCATTTTTAAACAAGAACATAACCTCAAAGTAAGGAAATTGAACCATCTGATTGGCTGTTAAAAGTTTACTGCGCTTTGAAAGCGCTGCAAACTAATCTGAACTCTCCTTTCTCCTTCTTCTTCCACAAACGACTAGGGCATAGCCTTGTATGTCGCAGGACATTCAGTGTCGAGCACAATAAACTATTCAAATTTTAAAATTTTAGAAGTCTAAAAATCATTAGGAATAAAGGACTTGTCAAATCAATATAAACAGCATAAAATCTTCAGTCATCCTCCGGAGAAGAGATCCAGCTTTGTCCCCATCTCTTAAGCGGTCGTCCTGGTAATCTTTTCCCTATGGGCCCTGCCGGTCCCGAGCTCGGGCTATGGAGGAGCATAGGCGTAGCTAGGTCATTTTGCTGGGGGGGGGGCCTGGCCCCCATCAGCGGGGGTCTGGGGGTATGGAATACCTTCCAGCTCAGCAGGGGGGGGGTCCGGGGGGCCTTTCCCCGGAAATTTTTTGAAATTTTAACTCTATCTGAGCGCATCTCGAGGCCCCTGTGGCGCTAATCTTCCTTCAATTTCTGCCTAAAAATCACCTAGTTTTATGCATTTTCAGATTAAAATACTTTGAAATTGTTAAAATCAACAGGTTACTCTATTTATAGGCATCCTCTCATGGGCCACGGCGACAGAGACTTATCGTTGAAGAAGGTGTTTTTGCACCATCCAGAATTTCTGAGGGGGCCAGATGATACTATTTCCAATTCTGGGGGGGGTCCAGGTCCCCCCCCCTGCGCCCCCTTTCTACGCCTCTGTGGAGGAGGGTTCGGAGGTGAGGCTAGAACCTGCCTCCGGTGGAGCACCCAATCTGCTCGAAGAAAAAATTAAAATAAATAATCTAAACTCAAAAGGGGTCAATTTCGATTGTTAGATTTTGATTATTCTACTGCGATTTTTGGAATGACGTAGCCACTAAATCAGTCCATCTCTAAGTACATTGAGCTGTTTCGTAAACGACTATGAATACAACATTAGATGCGACTGTTGCAGGTGCTAAGGGCGGTGGGCGCAACGAACGCTTTCAGCTATGTGCCTCACAAAGACCTGCCGTACGCCGGGCCGATGTCCTTGCTCCAGCGCCTCAACAACGCGTTCTTGAGCTACGCGACGATGCTTCACTTCCACTACTGGTACTACCCGGCCCACGATGAGATCATCACTCGCCTCGTCCCGGGCCGCCACCCCCCGATTGTCGACATGCTCGGCAACGTCTCGCTTGTCTTTCTTACCGGCAACACTGCCCTTGACGGTGCTCGCCTGTATCCACCCTGCGTTGTCCAGCTCACCGCGCTACACTTGAAGGACCCAAAGCCTTTGGATAAGGTAGGAATACAGACATAGAAGCGCACACATACACATGGTGTTCCAAAAGTCCCGCCCCCCCCTCCCTCCTATAACTTTTAAACGCTAAGAGATAGGGAAACGAAACTTTGGGAATGTTTCTATCTCAAAGAGGACCATCTTCTAAGGGGATGGGGTCAACATTTTTGCCCCTTCCTCGCGGGGTCGGGGGCCCCTCAAATTTTTTTTTCAAATGGTAACCCCTATCTTGCGATACATCATTGGAAAGAACATTGAAAACGAAGAATTTTGGCTCATTCCGGCTCAAATTATTAAAGTAGAGAAAACAAAGGGAATATTTACCAAATTTTAAGCACCTTTAAAATAAAAATCGCAGAAATCACTACAAACAAATTTTAAGGGGGAGTTCGAACCCCCAAATACGTCAGTTCAAAAATCATACGATTTTCCCGCGAAATGAAACATTTCCCCTAATTTTGCCTCAACTTTATCTCAATAAGTTCAAAATTAGTTCAGCATTACGTTTCCAGGTCCCCAAATTTCGGTAAAAGTTTAAAAGAAACGAAACTCAAACGGTCAAATTTAAGCACCTTAAATTTCGTTATTTTTTAACTTTTCCCGAAATTTGAGGACTTGGAAACGTAATGTAGAACTAATTTTGAACTTACTGAGATGACGTTGAGGTAAAGTCAGGGGAAGTTGGCTCATTTCGCGGGAACATCGTATGACCTTTGAACCGACGTATTTCAGGGTTCGAACACCCCCATCCCCCTGAAAATTCGCTTGTAGTGATTTCTGCGATTTTTATTTTAAAGGCGCATGCAATTTGGTAAATTTTCCCATTTTTTTTCTTTACGATAATTTTAACCAGAGTTATGTTTTTTTTTAAAATATGTCAATTTTGACCTTAGATCTATCATGACTCGGTCAAAAATTAAGATAGTGATCTATGGTTTGCGCCAAAATTCTTCGTTTTTAATGTTCTCTTTCTTTCCAATGATGTATCACAAGATAGCGGTTACCATTTGAAAAAAAGAGTTGCCCCCCCCCCCGAGGAAGGGGCAAAATTTTGACCCCCCTAGAAGATGGTCCTCTTTGATATAGAAATATTCCCAAAGTTTCGTTTTTCTATCTCTAACCGTTCAAAAGTTAGAGGGGGGGGGGCGGGACTTTGGGAACACCCTGCAGAATTATACACCTAACTCTGAACTAACATATACGAACCTAATGTAAGTTGACCTGACCTTACGTAAAATAACCTAACAAAGCTTAGGCAAACTTAATCCGGCATTAGTTGTTTAACTTAAAAAGTTTAAATCATCTTGGTGACTGCGCTACCTTTGAAGACTACTGACTGTTGACCTTTGAGCGCTACCAAGGGTGTTGGATCAGGTAGGAATGTAGACCACTGATAACTGAACCGCGTTACACAGAAAGGAACCAATAGCCACATCAGCCATTGCCAAATTTAATTGGGCGAATCATTTTTTGCATGAAGACTGTTGGGCGGATTTTCGAGCTTTCACTGAATTTTCTCCATAATATGAAGCAAATTCCTGAAAATTTTCAAAGGAGTCCGCACAAACTTTCGTTCTCTCATAAGAAATTGACTTGCCAAGTTAAATTTGGCAATAGCTGATGTGGCCTGGTTCTTTTATGTTAGACGCGGTCCAACGTTGATCTAATCAAACCGATATTAACCCTCTATTGCATGAATTAATTTTGGATCACGGATTTGGAAATAAAACATTTTTCTGAGAGATCTTTGAAAAAAATAGAGTCCCAATTTTTTTTTGTCGGGAGGGGGCTCTTTCCCCCCCCCTCCCAAAAAAATGGCCCCCAAAGTGACAGTTACATATGTGTGGGTCCATGCAACTTTGATGAAAAAAATAAAAAGAGAAATTACATATATGTGATTCTATGCAACTCTGGTAAAAACTATAAAAATAGATGTTACATGAAAAACATTCGTAAGTACATTTCATTGAAAAAAAAATAAAACATTTGTCTTACCAGAGATAAGATTTTATGGGAACACTGTTTTGGCCAGCATAAATCAAAACAAGCAGTTCCAACGCCAAAGCGTTGGAGGGCGCTTCTTTAACACTGCGCATGCGAGGAACGTTTTCATACGGCCAAGCGAGAGTATTGCGGACGGACGACGTATAACAAATTGCCTACGTGAAGGTGGTCCGGCAGCAACATACCCGCCGCTAGTCTCTGGAAAACAATAGAAAATAGTAGTTGCGTACGTTGCCAGCGAGCGCGCTGCGAGCGCATCTGTTTCAGTTACCTAGCATCGAGTCGGGCCTCTAACTTTCTATTCTCTCTGACATAACCTTAAACCTTTTTTTTTTTTTTTTTTTGCTGGTTTAGTGGCTTATATTCCGTTGGAACCTACAGCCATCGATAGACAGTATTTATTGTCCTTAGACATCATGGGATTTAGGCACATCCATGCTCCAGGCTTTCAAATTTTCAGGGATTAAGGCCGAGAGGAATCTGTTTCTGCAGATCCTCTCGTCAGTTCCATGAAAATTTGTCGCCACCACCGGGATTCGAACCCGGGACCTATTGGCCTAGACTCAGACGCGCTGACCACTAGGCCAACCTGGCCGGCAACCTTAAACCTTCAACCCAGAGCCGCAAACAGCTGACGCTTGACGATGCTGCGCCGAGAAAATGAACCAATCACAAAATAGCACAGTAATACGTCACTAAAATAAAGAGATCACGTGACTGTTCGTGATTTTTTCGAATCAATCTGAAACTACAACCTCGAATATGAGGCATTTAAGCATAACGAAGCCTTAAAATACTTTAACCAGGTAATACGTCCGTGCGAGATTGTTATGCTTAAAAGCAAAACATTTCACGAAAACTTTTACGAATACCAGATGCAGAAAAAAATCCAATTTTCCCGGGTGTACCAGAATGGCGTCATTACCCATAAGGCAAAAGGGCATGTAGTATAGTACATGTTACATCGGGGGAGTCGAACGGTTGGAAAGGGCGCATTTGGTACCCAGAAGCGCCCAATATAGGTGAATATTAGCTGTACGTGCATTTTTATTGGCCACAATCGGTTGCATGGAATGACACACAAGTAACTTGTCATTTTAGCCGCCAGTGTTGGTTGCATGAGATCAGATATATATTATTCGGTTTTAAATCAAGTAATTAAAAACCCAATTTGCATCTAATATTTCCTGTTGTCACCTAAAGAAAGTATTACGTGTGCGCTGCATATGCACATATTTTTTTCATTGTCATACGACCTTTCTTACCAACCCGCATCCTGCGCCGAAAATGCGTTGCCAGAACCGACCTCCGCAGCCTAGGGTTGCCGAAAAACTCGTTTTTTAACCTAATTTATCAACATTGGAGTGGGTTCCGTCATTTTTATCCAATAGAATTCAACCTTGGACTCGCATAAATGCATTCAGAAACATTGATGCGCTCGAACAGAATGTTTAAAAAAAGAAAATATATTAAATTACATATATGTGTATGTATGCAATAGAGAGTTAATCCAACCTAATATAAAATAACCAATCTAACTTGAGCACAAAGGAAAGAAGAAGTGAATGGTGGAGAGGAAGAAAAAAAGGGGGAAAATATTCACTTGCGATATACCAGAGACAAATAGAGACCGAGCACGTTGGGTTTTCAGTGAGGCACATCTAATTCTCGGGGATCCAACGGAACAACAGTCATGTATTTTCTGATTTCGCCTAAAGTTGACTGATGCTACTCGGCTGTTGGCATTATGGCGGCTTGTTTACATTCTTCCTAATCAATTTCAAAGCGGAAAATTTTTCAATTTTTCATTTGAAACTCTTCCAAATTGTCATGAAATGACCTATTAGAAGGTAAAAAATTAATTCGCCCCTTTTAATCAACATTTGTGATACTTTCGGTGGTTTCACTTTATGTAGTGAGAAGCAGATTCCTCGAGACTCTGAGCCTGGTCCGCAGATTGTTCAACTTCATAATGGATAATTTTAGTTATCGAACTATCTTTTGACTTTAAATGGTGTATAATTTTTTCTAGACAGTATCAATACCTTGTGATCAAATTCTCAATCTATTAACCTCCATATCATGTCGCAGGATAGAGATAGTTTAGCTATTTGAGATCTGTCAAGAACCTGATCACAGCAGCACTGCCAGTCTTACAGATACACTGTATTGAAATTTGACGAAAAACAATTTACTGTCTATGTCATAAGCTGCTTACTATGATAAGTATTAATCGTGGATCAAATGCTTGATGTCTCCAACAACCTATCTCTAAGCCTGATGTAGTGCGTTGAAAGCGGAGTGTTATGGCTGCGAAGCGTCGATATTTGTTGTTAAGGAGGCGTGTAAATGAAACGTTTGGATAAGCTCGCAAGCTGTAAGAATTCTTTTGTGCGTGGAAAATAACTGAATGTCCAGAATTCTAAACATCTGACTGTATCTCAAGTACCTAAAAGAAATGTTGGTCAGGTCAGAGTTTGTGAATCCTTGGCAGCAGTTAATGCAATTCTTCTACATATTTAAGGCCTTCGCTCATCAAAGTTAGGTAAGTAAGAGACCGCTCAGATCCATCATATTATGCTTGTCAGTATTAGTCCATAACTCCATAGTGTAAAAATCCTTGGAGGGTGAAGTGCCCATCATCTGATGGAGTTCCTGAGATTTGTTTAAGAACTTTTCTTCCTGATTATTCTCTCAATTTTACCAGAATTGTCTCTTCCACCACCATCATAAAGTATTTCAACCTTGCATTAAATGAGAAATGATGTATACGCTATCAACTTCGCCTTAGAATTCCTAAAATTGGGAGTCGTGAAACAAATAAAGTAGCTTCACCGTAAACATTTGCTAGCTTAGTTGGCAGTAAAACTCTCATTAATTCGGTGAAAATAAAAGTAAATGTTTTTTCTTCGCTCATTTCGATGAGGAAACACATTGAATACATATAAATTGTGATACTGGATGCAACTAATACTACTTCCTGTAAAATTGGAAAATGTGTAACTCGAAAAAAGGAAAGAGGATCTCACCAGAGTGCTCTCTTACAACTTATAGATCAAAATTCGTGATATTTCGGCCCTTAAAGGTTCTTTCATCATTCAGAAATAAAGAAACTAAATTTAGTTTGAACAGGCATCTTTCAAGAAAGAAATGTGACAGCTTATTTGCAGTTTTTAGCTTTTTCATAATGCGTCAAATCTACCTTTTGACGAGAACAGGCGAAGATTCAAACCGCGCACTACTTATTGTTGGTTTACATTTCTCACTTACCAAACTTTAATGAGCAAAGTTGTTAAGTACGTAGGAGAATTTCAGTAACTGCTGCCAAGGATTCACAAACTCTGACCTGACCAACATTTCCTTCAGGTACTTGAGATACAGTCAGATGTTTAGAATTCTGGACATTCAGTTATTTTTCACACACAAAAGAAATTGTACTGCTTACAGGCTTATCCAACCGTTTCATTTACACAGCTCCTTAAAGACACATATCGACTCTTCAGTCGAAATGCTCCGCATTCAATGCATTACATCAGGCTTCGGGATAGGATTTTGGAAACAGAATTATTTACAGAGAATTATCTTGAAAAAATTATACACCATTTACAGTCAAAGAACATTTCGATTGCTAAAATAATTATCCATATGGAAGTTGAACAATCTGAGGACCAGGCTGTCTCGAGGAATCTGTTTCTCACTGCAAGAAGTGAAACCACCGAAAGTATCACAAATGTTGAGTAGAAGGGGTGAATTAATTATTTACTTGGTAAAAAGTCATTTTATGACAAATTCGGAGAGTTTCAAGGGGAAAATTGGAAAATTTTCCGCTTTGCAAGTGATAAGGAAGAATGTAAACAAATCGCCATATTGCCAAAACCTCACCAGACGCGACTAGCACCAGTCAACTTTAGGCGAAATCAGAAAAATGATGACCGTTGTTTTGTTGAATCCGCGAGAATTAGATGTGCCTCACTCAAAATACATTGGCGGAATAGGGCGTGCTCGGTCTCTATTTGTCTCTGCGATATACCAATGCAACTGCTTGGACCAAAATCTTTCCCCTCTCAGATTAAAATTTTCTTGATGAGTTTGTTGTGACGCTGATTCTAACTCATGAATTATACATACCTTGATTTCTCCTCAGAAAAGTGTAAATCCAGAGCAAATCACCGCGCGGTAGTATAAATCCCGTTATATTATTGAAAAGAAATTGACTCGATATGAATGCAATTGCAATCAATATGTCTTGATTTTGTTATTTTAAACGTCTTTCCATGCAAAGAAGTTCAACCATGTCCATGCTTCATTAGTTCATGAATTGAAAGGAAGCAATCTACATCCCGAAAATCTACTGATTTGCCGTAAAACTTCGCAGAAACTTGATATACCAGGTTGATGTACCCACTCGTTGATTGATTTACCAATCAATTTCGTGAGTGCACAATTGCACATACGTAAAAGTTAAAAGTACGTTAAAACGTTAAAAGTTACGTAAAAGTTTGCAATACGTAAATGCTTTAGTCATTTTGGGTGCATTTATTTTTCATGAAACGATAATAAGTATAATTTCAATCCCGAAAAACCATCAATTTTCCGTATAAAATCGAAAAAGCGAAATATGTCGACTCCCTGACGTGAAAATTGGATTCTACGTGTGAAAAACTTAGGTATCGATATACTGAGCAGTACCCATGTGTGGACAGAGTCAGAAGTCCGCGGCAACATCAATTCAACAGAAAACGGCAAAAATTGGATCGGATTCTAGCCGCTTTGCCCACCTCTTCTCGTTATTTACAAACCGCTCCTATACAAATCTAAAAATTTTTCTTGTAGCATTGTGTTATTATCAGCTTCCATTTAAACCGGCCGGTTTGATGGCCGAATCGGCTGCCCAAAAAGCAAGCCATTTTCGAAGGGTTTAATGAGAAATTCGGGATATTATCGGCTCTCAGGAAATCACCCCGCCATGGCAAAAATTGGTGGTATAAATGTTTGAGCGCTTAAAATAATCGTATTTAAGAAACTAAGGCATTGCACTATAAAGTCAATTTTTTTTAATAATATAACGGGATTTACTACCGAGGATTTAGCTATTATAGCCTCAGATTATTTTAAAGCGCCTTTGTTTTCCAGAATCTCGTTTTAATTTTTCTTTTTTTTTTCTTTTTTTTTTCTCGGCTTAAACCATTCAAGAGGCACTGTGATTAAAAAATATGAAGAATTTTCCATTTGGACTTATAAAAAATGTTTAACTCGTTCAGGCACACCGTGTGTATGGAGTACTGCTGCTATTCGACCCTTGTCTTCTGGTCAAAATTCTTACATGGAAGCCCCTCGCAAGAGGCGAATTTTTCGTAATTTCTCCCAACTTTTTCTCCGTTATTATAATTGAATTGCTTGTCAAATTCTGAGGTCAGTTATATATATTTGTAATTTATACATTTCTTTTTCCCTTTCTTTTAATTTTTTGTATGGAGAAGTTTTGTTGATTTCTTCGGATTTCGAATACTGTAACTTTTCTTTTATTCGGCCAATTTTTATGCATGAGGTCTCTTTTTATTCGTGTTTTAACGGAGAGTAAGTAAAAAATTGCTGATTACACGCGAATTTTTTCTTTTTTTTTTCAAATTGGGTGAATCATAGCGTGACGGTGAAATGGTTAATCAAGCGTAAGTAAGAGGGAAAGGGTCTCGGCCGCGCCGCGCCGCGCCGGGACCCAAGGTGGCCCAAGACCATTGTTCCTCGAGACGCCGACGCAGTGATCAGGGGCGTGGGGAAGAGAGGGGTATGTAGATTCCTGTTTGAGCCGTGTTTAGCAAATGGTCTAATGAGTCTCAAGGCTCATCACAGATCGCACTTACGACTGCCCTGGCTGGCCCTGGCTATCAGAGCAGTGGTACCAAATTTTGATAAGCATAACAAGGCGTGTTGAGATCTGTCAAAGCAACGTTTTGAACAAAACGGAGGAGTGAAATTCTCATTCGAAGAGTGCTGAACTGCTCAGCCATCCTCGAATCAGTTCGTTTGCTTCTGCTTGCATATTTTAAATTAGCGCGGAGCATTCTTAGGTTTCTCGAAAAAAACCAAGTAACGTAGACTCTTGGTATTCATTGCACATAAACTCTAAAGCCCCAGAATGAGAAAAAAATTTAAATCATAATTATTGACGGATTAGTAAACTTTTTACACGCTTTTGAAATTCTCAGAAGTTCGCGCTAGTCACTTTCCGGTAAGTGACTAAGGGACTCTGTTATTGTATCGAGTAGGGGGTCGAAACGATTGCAAAGGCGGTATACAACGTACACGCACCAACAGAGAAAACGCGGTTATTGATTCCTACGCTTCAAATTGTGTTACAGGAGTTGAAGTCAATCATGGACAAAGCTGAACACGGAGTAATTTACTTCTCCTACGGCTCGATTATTAAAATGAGTCACTTGCCGAGGTCGATCATCGAGATGTTTCTCTCTACTTTTGAACGTCTAGATCAGACCGTCCTCTGGAAAACAGACTTGAACACAACTGATCTAAACATCCCAAAGAACGTGCATGTGCGATCGTGGTTCGAACAAACCAGCATCCTTGGTAATTACATTAAAAACAAAACAATGAAAGACAAAGCAAAAAAAAAGAACAGAAAATAAAGCGTTAAAATCTAAAGCAAAATGACGATGCAATAAAAAAAAGACATAAGGAAAATGGAGCCATATCATCGGTTGAAACGGGTGGTTGATGTACAAGGTTATCGAAAAGTCACCTACCACCTCTGTAACTTTTTTCTTAATTGAGATAGAGGTTTTTTGTAAGGCGCCCTCGCGCCCCCCTCCCCCTAAGGGCATGGAGCTCAACTTGTTTTTCAATTAAATGGTAACCCCCCCCCCCNCCCCCCCCGTGTGATACTTTATTCAAAAGATAATAAAGAAAGAAAATTTTTGGCGCAAACCGCAGGTCAAAATGTTGATTTTTCACAAAATGGCGACCGGTCAAAAATCAAAACGACGGAAATTTAGCATGTCCGTTTTTATCGACGGATTGGGATGAAACTCAGTTTACAGCGGTTTTTTGGGACGAGAAAAGCGATTCTTGCAATAGTTTCCCGGAAATTCTGTCCTTTTTCAAAATGGCGGCATAAAGCGGGATGTGGATATTCAGATAGCTTGTTTGTGGATTTACATGAGACTCAGTTGCGGGGGGTATTTTGGCACTAGAGAGACGAATCTGCCAACGGATTCTTCAAATTCTTAAACTAAAACATGGCAGGAACTTGTTAGTACGGACATTCACTGATAGAGGCGCATGAAACTCGGTGCCCTGGTTGTCTCTGGCTCGGATAATAACTCTTTCACAGTAAAGTTATGTAATGCTAACTATACTTTCGAAATGGCCGCCAAGTTTCAAATGTTTTTCTTCTTATTTTTTGAATGAGGTATCTTAAACGGAGAGGGGGGGTTACCATTTAAATTAAAGTTGAGCCCCACCCCCTTGGGGAGTGCTGCCCCACAAAATTGTTGCTACCATAGACCTAGAAACATCCCCAAAGTTTCAAACTTATATCTCAATTAGGATAGAAGTTACAGGGGTGAAAGGTGCCTTTAGATAACCCTGTAGGTAAATTGATAGACTCCTATTTTTACTTTCTTATTATATCATCCTCTAATAATTGCCTAAGTAATTCGGCAAAAATTTTGCAAATCAAGCAAAGGTTTTAGCAATAACACCATATACTAGTAATGCTATTTTCGCAAAATAAACTGAGTATTTTTGCAAATTGTTTTGTAATTCTCACCAAGAGGGAGGACATTTTAGCAAAAAAAAAACGAATTGCAGACATCGAAAACCAGTGTGTTCCCCGTTTTAGCAAATATTTTTTTCCGTGTATGTCTTTCCATTTACGTCACAATTTTTCCTTTCTAATTCATCCTTGCGCTTCACAGCTCCTCCTTAATTTACCTCTGCCTACACTTGCTCTTTATGTCATTTCCTTGCTTCATCCCTCACCTCTACTTTTGCCACCTGTCACCTGTCACCTTGTCTAATTTCAGCTATTCTTCATTATTAAATATTTAAGTAATAATAATTTAGATTCCGCTGCTCTTCTTCTATTCTTACTGTGCTTTCTCTCCTGCTCCTCTCTCTAATTATATTTTTTCTGTTCCTTCTGCCTCTAACTCTCCTCATACTTACCTCTACCTGTACTCCTCTACTCTCCCTTCATCTTCTCATTCATCTTCATGCTCGCATACTTCTTTCATTGTGCCCTCCGCCTCCTGATCCTACTGGCAATAGTTGTGTGTTAGATAATGACTCCATCTTAATCACAAAAATTATGTATAAATTAATATCTCTGTTACAGCCCATTCAAACTGCGTGCTCTTTGTGACACACGGAGGTCTGTCCAGTATGATGGAGGCCATCCGTGCTGCCGTACCCATCGTCGGCACTTCCTTCTATGGCGATCAAATCATCAACCTGGCAAACGCCGAGTACTACGGCTTCGGGATTCACGTCCACTACTCCAGTCTCACGCAACAATCCTTTCACGCAGCCATCACGAGGGTACTCAGCGATCCCACGTATGTTATGATTTTTTAAAAGTTAGCCAATGTGGGCTGATCATTAAAATTGATAGACAAAACGAAATACAAAAGAAACAAAAGGCATATGGAACAATCCTATTGGTTGAAACAGTAGTAGCAGACCAAGGAAAAAAATGATGGACCAAATAAAGGGTCCCCCGTGGGTTGCCGTTAGTTAGTCTACTGCTTACTTACTTCGTCCGTTGCGACCACCCGCTTCCACCAATGCTATCGCTCCGTTCTCTCTTTATCTTATTTGTCTACGGCTTTGTCTACACATTTCAAAAATTAATCCACAGACCAACAAGATACCACACAAGAAACTTGTAATCAATATATTGAGAATTTTAAAAGAAGACTTACGTGCAATATCTTGGGACTCCAGACTTTTAGGTAGGGAAATGTTGGGGGAATGTGGGGGGGGTGTGTGTTAGGGGAATGTTGTGTGTTTGGAGTAAAGGTGCGGAATTTGGGAATGAAGAATAAAAAGATATAGATAAAAGAGGTATAGCAGTAGAGGAGGTAAAAAGGACTGCCATGAGAAGGCGTATTTCGAGGAATTTGAAGAAGCAGGATGCAATAAGAATAAGAGAAAATAAGAAGCAAAGCGAAGAAAGGAATACAGGAAGTAAAAGCGACTGTAAGAAAGGAGAATGATCAAATATAAAAAATTAAAAAGGAATAAAGGAAGACGAAGAAGAGAAAAAATAATGAGAGGAGGAAGATTCGTGGAAGAGGAAATAGAAGGAGAAGAAGAAGTGGTAAATTTCAGTAAGGGTACAAAAAATAAGGAGACTTTCTTTTTCTTCCTCTCCTTTTTTTAATCTCCTTTTTTCACTATTACTCATTTATTCTTCTCCTTCTTCTTCTTCCTTCATTCATTCCTCTTAAAATGTGTCTTAATGCCTTATCCTATGTTCCCGTCTTCACTTCTTACCATTGTTCTCCTCTACTTTCTTCATGGTACGCTTAAAGGCTTAACGCTATCCAACTGAAAGTCTAAAGTATACCGAATTAAACCAAGGCCGATAATTTTTTTTAATTGTTTTTCTTACACAAAAGCATCTCCAAAAATCGTATAGAAAATGTATCAATCAGTATTGCTATTATTTGCAATGTGTCACTCATCCGAAACTAAACATACTTAACTTCTGATTCTTGCTGTATGATTCGAGAATTTGATGAAAGGGCAGGTTTAAACCAATGGATCTATTTTGACCGATTGCTTGTTCGAATTTTCTTTTCTCTTAGGGTTGGGACCTAAAAACACCCTGTAATATTTTTGATCCTGATGAATTTGTTCGCCTTCTTTCTTTTGCTGGTTTCAGGTTCAAATTGAACGTGATACAGCGCTCGAATATATTCAAGGATGAACCGGTGCCACCTTTGGACGAAGCCGTTTATTGGGTGGAGTACGTCATCAGACACAAAGGAGCCCATCACTTGAAACCCTTGGCCGCCTATATACCTTGGTACCAACTGTTTCTCTTCGACGTGATCGTCGTTTTCTCTGCCGCATTCCTCGTCTTAGCGTATACTGTTTACATCGTTGTAAAAGTGGTATTGTACCTAACTCGCTCGCTGTGTGGAGGATCAAAATCGATAAAAGTAAAATTAAATTGAAGACAGGATTTGTTTTGCAATTTTCTTGGTTGTTGCATCTTCTACAGCCCTCATCAGACTAATAACTGCATTTTTAACTAGTCAGTATTGAGGGGCCTTCATAAATTACGTCATCCAAGTAGACGGGTGGGGGACGTCTAGCGGTGGATAACGGTGGGTGACGGGGAGGAAGAAGGGGTCAAGCCAAGGATAACATAAGCTTCTCTGAAGGCAAAAAGGCTGAAAATTCTTGCTTGAAATTTGGAAGGTCAGCTAGTAATATATCGCGGCCTTGATTTTTTTCCTTTTTGGGAGAACACAACATATATTTAACACTCAATGAAAGGAATTAATTATGTTTTTAACGCTGCAGACTATATCGTACTAATTCTAATCGATTTTCTGCGTTTTCCTCCTCAAAGGGGGGTGGGCACAAAGGATTGCGTACCTAATTTTTAGGGAGGGGTTTAGCAGAGGATGACAATAGGGTACATTGAGGGAGGGGAAGTCGAAAAATTGAAAGAAATGGGTGACTTAAATTATGGACGGCCCCTGATGTGTTTACTCTATTACGACTAAATAATTCTGTAATGAGCCAGAGATAGTAGGCCACCGAAACCTCAATTTACGCACATGAAACGGCGAATACCTCGAAAACCGCACATGGGATCTCTTTGCGTATGCATCATTCGTCTCCTTGTATGGGTAGGTCCATTTCTGTATAGGTTAGAATTGTTAATTGGTCCTTTTTTGAAAAACATAGCCCAATTGGGCGCATTCAAATTGAAAGGAACTATATCAATTGTGATATAAACCCTGGCATGCACGTACATTCTTACGAATCTCGGGGCTCATGTCTAAATTGATAAAGCTCCCAAAGGCAAAAATGCGTCCATTTAGCCTCTTGTTAAATCTTACGCCGTTTGGACTAAACATTAATAAACTGTATGGCTATGTGCAAGATGTTTCTTAATTAATCATAATGCTATACTTCCCGCCATGTTAGTGAATAAGTCATGTAAGATGCTCTTCCACGACCGCCTATGATTGAACAATATCTATGTGATTCTTGGAAGAATTCTTTCACAGCATGAAGGAAATTTACAGAGAGTGAAGTTAAAGTTCCAAAAAAATGGTCAGTGAATTCAAAAACTAAAATAAGTATAGTTTTATTGTAAAGTTGTTTAGTTTCACTAGTAAAACAATGTCATGATATGAAGAAAAATATTTGATCTACAGTGAATTTTATCAGTTTAAGAAACAATTGGCTTTTAAATACCTATGAAGTCTTACTTGCAGAATTTTTATGTTTTAAAAATGCAGCAATCATTCAATTTAGCACTAAAACAGCTACCATGAAAACAGAATTGGACGTATTTCTATCAAACAGATTTATGTGCAGGTGAGAAATATGGGGTGTGCTCGTCAGTTGTCCAACCATAAGAGTGATGGAGTGAATGAGAATAATAAAGCGCCAGTGATGTCAACGGCGATGGATGCCATCGTTGCGGTCGCGGCTCTTCATAGTGGTCATTACCTAACTCATGCATGAGCCTGTCCACAACGCTCTCGTCCCATGCTCGCGGCTCATATATCCCGCATTCAGTTGGCACATAGTTCTGTTTGCTGAATTTAAAATCCCACTTTTCCAATTCTTCAAAAGGAATTACGCCCACTTTTACATTGTTTCTTGTGCAGCTTTCTCGAGAACACCCCATATTTCTCACCTGCACATTAATCTGTTTGATAGAAATACGTCCAATTTGGGGTGAGGCAATCCTGCTAATCGGCTTTTTCCTTCAGTTGAGTTTTACAAATTCTTGTCCACGATAAAATTACTAGTTTCAGGATGAGATAGAACACCACAAAAAACAATGTTCCATAAATTGCAATGACATCTATTAGAAATAGCTGGTAAGTGGGGATTTTGGTCGCTAGTGGCTTTAAGTGGTGGGCTCCTTTGTGCCGGACGACGTATTCGAGAAAATACACGGCCGTCTCGAGTGACGTCATAGGCTTATCACTCAAAATTTTCGAGGCCCTCCTTATGTTCTCCTTATATCTGGAACAAAGAAAAACAGTATCAGAGACTTGCGGCCTTACTTATAGTGAGGAGGGTTCCGACTACCTCAGGGCCTCCTTAACTTATTCTATTCGTAAAGTATAAGAAGGCCGCAACGTTAACTTAGGGACTGTGAATAGGACGTATTTCTACCAAACAGACCTATGTGGAGGTGAGAAATATGGGGTGTGCTCGTGGAAGCTGCATAAGAAGCAATGTAAAAGTAGGCGTGGTTCCTTTTGAAGAATTGGGAAAGCGGGATATTACATTCTATCAAACAGACCTATGTGCCATCTGAATGCGGAACTCATGAGCCACGGGCATAGAAAGAGAGCCTTGTGGACAGGGCTCATGAGTAAAGAACACCATGGAGGACGTAACCGCGGGACGGTTTCGTTGCAGCTGACGTCACTGGCGCTTTTTTATTCTCATTTACTCTTACGGCCAGACAACTAACGAGCACACCCCATATTTCTCACCTCCACATAGGTCTGTTTGGTAGAAATACGTCCAATAAAGGCCTCGGTTTAAAACACGACGTGGCCTCTTTGATGGGGATAAAAGAGAATTTTAAACTGAGCTATGTAAATTTCATTATTTTCCTCGTAAAGTATTCTAAACAGTGTATAACCTCTAAAAATTTCAAAGCCGTAGAAAAGTTTTAAAGGGAGGAAAAAAATTCGCAAAATGACGAAAAAACGCGTGTTCGCACGCCACGCTCGGAACTTTAGGCTCTTTGAGGCGCGTTTTAAAAAAATTTTTTCTCAATTTTTATTTTTTCCCCATTATTTTCTCATTAAATGAAACCATTTGCAGGGTTCCGCACTTTAAACTCCGTAAATTCAAAAATAAGGGCCACCCTACGCGAGTAACCTCTTCTGAAATAGCAATGTTGACCATTTCGGCGCCAAAAACCGGTACTTTACGTGGGACGCAAGGACTCGATCGACTTGAAACCTTTTCTGTCGATACTAGGGCATGCCTCTTGAAACATTGAAACCAAAAATTAGAGATTTTATAGTTACAATCTTGATAGCGTGCGAGTAAACCGTTGCCAAAAGAGCCATTTTAACCGTTTTGGCGCCAAAAAAACCATTTTTTCGGTGGGACGCACCACGCGTGAAGACTTGAAATTTTTTTTGGTGACAACTGGGTATATTACCTACATTTTAAGGCATAAATAAAAAATGTATGTGTCCTCATTTTTTTTAAAACGGCTAAAATCTGAAAAAAATTGGAAATTGACGATTTTTACGAATTTTTTTAGGGGCCTAAATAAAATACGATAAATTTGATTTTTTTACCCAAGAATCTGACTGGTCTGATGTGTAATTAGTGAAATTTTGGTGCATTTTTATCGAAAATTGCGAAAGATACGAAATAAAACGTGAAAATACCCCAAAATTCCCCGAAAAATGGGTTTTTCGGGGCTGGAGGGGGGGTGGTTGGGGTCAGGAGGGTAAAATTGCCCAAAACCATGTTTTTAGGACCTCCTGAAAGGGTTTAGACCATTGAATTCAAAATCCGTGAGGAAGGGCATTTTGGTGCCCTTACCCAGGGATACCCTTTCGTTTCGATACAAGCATGCGTTCAAAAGTTAGAGGGGGGGTCGGGGACTTTTCGCTTACCCTGAATATCATATATCTCATTTTTTAATGCGATAATATCCCAATACACTGCCACCGATAGAATCACGATATCCAATAGATAAAATCGCTAATTATCGCGGTCACTGCTATTTGTACATACGAATTATCCAGCCCCATGAAGACTTCAGCAACGTCTATAGGATTAGCATTAAAGAGTTTACCAACTTGATTGTAAGTACATTCAATTAACATTGTCTGGTTTCATTAAATGACTAGCTAATTTTAGGGTTCGGGTCCATTCGATCATCAACCCGCGTTTAAAAATTGATACCTACATACGTGTACAATGGGCCTGTTGCAAACTTTTGCTAGAGCAAAACTAAGAGTTGTTTCTTACAGATAATGCCTCAAAAATCACGATGAGCGCATAGGCAAAGTCTGAAATGCATTCATAACTTCACAATCTGCGTGAGAAATTTGCGGTTTTTTAAAGTTCCTGCTTCGAAAACGATACTACGGTACAGGTGATCATTTTGTTGCAGGAGTCGTTCCATTGGTGGCAATACTCATCATGGCCGACGCCAGTCCGCCAAAACACGTGTGATGGGACGAGATATCACCTGAACAGGATTAAACGAGATAACAATCGGCGTGTTTACGTTCATATTTTTCTCGCCCGCCTTAATTGACCTTGAACTCTCCTCGAATTACGCGAGGAACTGCGCAAGCGTCGGCCATGATGAATATTGCCGACGATGGAGCGACTCCTCTAACAAAATGTTCACCTGTGCAGTAGTATCGTTTTTGAAGCGGGAAGCTCAAAATAACGCAAATTCCTTACGCAGATTGTGAATTTATGAGTGCATTTCACACTTTGCCGATGCGCTCATCGTGATTTTTGAGGCATTATCTATAGGAAACAACTCTTCATTCTGCTCTAGCAAAAGTTTGCAACAGGCCCATTTTCCGGACGAGTAAGTTCCAAATCATAGTACCTACGGCAAGTCACTCTTGGTCTTCCGGCACGTCCTTCATGGTCGAACGCAGATTTTTATACGGACGTATTTCTATCAAATGGAACTATGTACATTAAGACCTGAGACTCATAAGAATGCATGCGTAATAGGGCTCACGTCATAATACACATAATTCCGTTGACGTCCACATTCCATGCGGGGTCTGCAGCCACAGTCCCCCTTGTGAGGTCTTCGATTAGGATATTTTAGGTTACTAGCCGTTCTGGACGCGCTTTGCACGTCCAGAACGGCCAGCCAAGGGGCTGCGCCCCCTGAGCCCTCGATCACTAGCTACGCGAGTGACATTCGGCTCGCTCCGCGAGCCATTTTTCTCAATGATTGAGAGTGATTTCTCAGTGATGTTCCCAGGAACATTTGATCACTAAGATGTATGCATTTTGGAGACTCTGGAGGCAAAAATGATTTGGTCACAGAACCTTGTTGCCGGAGCATGCCATCATTTGCACATGAATAAATGTGTGGAGATGAAGCGATGATGGGGATCGATCATTTCTTCAAAACGCATTTGGCTGGGACGCCATCCCATCGGGTGGACAGTCCATGGATCTCCTTCCGCGATTTGACTTGCTGAAGTAGCAAAAATTCATCTTTAACTCTTAAGAAGATTATCGGTGGCGTAGGGGTCTAAAAACTGCGCAACGATAGTATAGTTTGCGTTCCGAATCGCAATGAGCCCACTCGTGTTTTTTTCTTATACTTTCATGGCATATAAATTTCACTGATGTTTTTGTTTTATTCTATCTGATTGCATATTAGTAATCATATCCTCATTTTATTTCCTTTCCCTTTCCTTTTTCCTTTTTTGTAGCATCTTGGTCCATTTACAATTATTATTTTAAAATAGCTTTCCCTTGGTATACAATTGATGCTTCAAACGGAATCAATTGTTTTAATGACATTTCCAGCTAAATCATGGGTTTTCCCAGGAGGGCAGCCTCTCGTCCCTCCCGGACTCCATTGTTGCCAGATAAGTTGATTTTTTAGCACTTTTCCCAATTCAAATCCATGTAAAATATTCACATTTATCGCACAATCTGGCAACCTCTCGAGTGAAATAGAAAAAGGTAGAATCGCTGAAAGTTTGAATCCTTCGAAGTTTATATTAATGATGATGATGATGATGATTAGCGTCAATGGTGAGATCTACAGGGTTATCCAAAAGTCACTGACCATCCCTGCAACTTTTTTCCACATTGAGATGGAAGTTTGAAACTTTGGCAATGTTCCTCGGTCTAAAGTGGCAACGTCCCCCCAAAAGAGAGTTATGCAAAACGGCCAAAAAGTGACCCCGCGGGGATTGTACGAAACTTTGTGGGATGATTGTATAGGTCATTTTGGGCCTGTATCTGGCTGCTTTTAGGCGAAAACCGCAGGGAAACAGCGTTGCCATTTTTTAAAGTCTTAACCTTCAAACACCCATAACTTTCGCAAAAATGCAGTTACAGAGCTCGTATTTATACCAAAAAATGCGGAAAATTTTGTTCTATCGACCAACGCAAAGGAACTTTTTATTCGAGTCCACTGTTGCCACGTTTTGGCCATTTTTTTAATTTTCATAATGATTAAAAATCACGTTATCGCCTAAAAGTGTGTTTGCAGTTGGTGGAGATTGAATAAAAACCTGTCGGAATTATTGTTCGTTCGATTTCACATCCATTGATATGTTATACTTTTCTGAGAGGCTTAGGGAATCCAAGTTACAGCGATTTAAAAATTCGGCAACACGCCCGACGCCCGATTTTGACGCTCGTTAAGGTACGTTTCGCAACTCCGTGTTGAAGGAGAACGCCTAGATAAAACAAAATTCGAAGAGCCAGTTCATGTTTTACGCTTTTTTGAAACTTTCACGTCATTTTTAGAAATTCAAGTAGCGGCGGTGTTGCCGGTTTTCAATGAAAACCACCGCTGCGATCACAATTGAAAATAGCACTCATTTAATCACGTCTAGCTACATTGTTTATCCTAAACTGACCATTTGCGACATGATGTTAACAACGTCGCCTAATTTCCGTCGGAATTCGCGTAGAGGCGGGGTTGCCAGTTTTCAAGGAAACCGCCGCCGCAATCACAAAAAAAATGTATCACTCATTAAATCACGTCCAGCCTTATTCTGTAGTTGGAATTGTCGATTTATCGAATCGATGGTTTCTTCTATCCCCTTGCAACGGCACTGGTGTCCGACAATAACGAGGTATCGAAATTTAAGGCTACCGAATCACCCGAGCGGTCTGATGATTAGTTTTGGAAAGGGACCTAGATCCATCGATCTTGATCTCGATACAATATCGAAAACCGGCAGCACCGCCCGCTACTTGAATTTCTAAAAATGAAGTGAAAGTTTCAAAAAAGCGTAAAACATGAACTGGCTCTTCGAATTTTGTTTTATCTAGGCGTTCTCCTTCAACACGGAGTTGCGAAACGTACCTTAACGAGCGTCAAAATCGGGCGTCGGGCGTGTTGCCGAATTTTTAAATCGCTGTAACTTGGATTCCCTAAGCCTCTCAGAAAAGTATAACATATCAATGGATGTGAAATCGAACGAACAATAATTCCGACAGGTTTTTATTCAATCTCCACCAACTGCAAACACACTTTTAGGCGATAACGTGATTTTTAATCATTATGAAAATTAAAAAAATGGCCAAAACGTGGCAACAGTGGACTCGAATAAAAAGTTCCTTTGCGTTGGTCGATAGAACAAAATTTTCCGCATTTTTTGGTATAAATACGAGCTCTGTAACTGCATATTTGCGAAAGTTATGGGTGTTTGAAGGTTAAGACTTTAAAAAATGGCAACGCTGTTTCCCTGCGGTTTTCGCCTAAAAGCAGCCAGATACAGGCCCAAAATGACCTATACAATCATCCCACAAAGTTTCGTACAATCCCCGCGGGGTCACTTTTTGGCCGTTTTGCATAACCCTCTTTTTGGGGGTGCCGCCCCCCAAGGGGGGAGGGGGCTAACTTTTTTTTCAAATGGCAACCCCCCTTTGTCATACTTCATTCGAAAGTAATGATAAAAGAAAAGTTTTGGCGCAAACTGCAGGTCAAAATGTTGATTTTGGCTGAAGAGCGGCTGGTCAAAGTTCAAAATGGCGGAAATCTAACATCTCCGTTGTTTACTGACGGATTGGCAATTAACTCGGAATCCTAGGGTTTTTCGAGACGAGAAAAACGATTCTGGTATTGCTTTTCCAGAGAATCTAGTCCTTTTCAAAATGGCAGCGGTCAAAATGGAGGTCTAGAGCGGGAAGTGGATACTTCTATAGGCTGCATATCGTTGGATTTGCATGAAACTTGGTATCCGGAGGTATTTCGGCAAGAGAAGAACGAATCTTTCATTAAATATCTGGAATTCCAACAAATTTCAAAATGGCGGCGGAAAAAGGCTGATTTGCATGGAATTCGATTATTTAGTATTTCAAGAATCTAATGAAAGATTCCTTTTTATCGAGCCAAAAACCACCAAGATATCGAGATTCATGCAAATTCATCGGTAAACAGCTGTAAAATTGATTTCCTGCCATTTTTCCGCCGCCATTTTGAAATTTGACGGAATTCCACATATCCAATGAAATATTCATTCTTCTCGAGCCGAAATACCCCCCCATACCAAGTTTCATGCAAATCCAACGATAAGCAGCCTAAATATCCACTTCTCGCTCTAGGCCGCTATTTTGAAAAGGACTGACTTTTCTGGAAAAACAATGCCAGAATCGTTTTTCTCGTATCGAAAAACTTCAGGATTCCGAGTTTAACGCCAATCCGTCAATAAACAACGGAGATGTCAGATTTCCGCCATTTTTAACTTTGACAAGGAAAAAAGTTACAGGGGTGGTCAGTGACTTTTGGATAACCCTGTATAAAGAGATGAATACAAGTACGTGTCTAGGCAACAGATGAAATAATTTAATTTCAAAGAAAAGGGAACTCACGTGGGGTCTTCCAGCACGGTCTTAATGACCCAACTCAAGGATTTTTGAGTGAGATTCTTGTATTCTAGACGAAGTCCGTATCCGAGGTACTCAGCATAAGCCAGCAACCTCCACTGGTCCCCGTAGAAAGGCATACCCGCAACCGGGACAGCATAACGAATGGCTTCCATCATACTCGATAATCCTCCGTGAGTAAGAAACAGGACACAATTCTGGTGCGCTGTGTGGAAAATGGAATTTGAAAATAAAAAATGGTATTATAAAGTATTAAAAGTGAGAGCATTAAGAAACCTAGCCAATTCGTCATTAAGAGTTTTGAGATAACCTAACTCGAGATTTGTGAGCAATAGTTGGAGGCTGCTGGCATATGTTAGACAAGGAGGCAGCTAAATTTGAAGAAAGAATAACACAAAAAGGGAGAGAGGAAACAAGATGAGCCGATGATGAAAGAGAGGAGGAAAAAAAAGAAAAGAGGGACAGATACGAAAGAGGTTAAGTTCATGAAATACCTCTCATTGATATTCCTTCACTTCTTATTTCTCCTTCATTCCTCTTCGAGTTTTTCCTGAAGGATAGCCCATTCTCTTGTTCCTCTTTTGCATACTTTTTTTTCTTCTCCACCTTCCTCTTTTCCCTATCGATCCTCCTTCTTTTGCTCATTTCCTACTTCCCGTTCCGATCACTAAAAGTCCTGAAAGTCCTAGTCGTATGTGAAAGTCCTCAAATTACATATCTACAACTCCTTTTTTAAGGATGGCGTTATTCGGCGGTACAGTAGCGTCGCGGATAAAGCGTTATTCGGAGGTACAGTTCCTTGACCAAAAATCCTCTAAGTATCGCTAAGGTACCTACCCTTACCAGATAACTTTGTGACCGCTCACCGAAAAATTTCCTACCGCTAAGTGCCTTAACCGGATGACTTTTAAGACCGACATCCGGAAAATTTCCTACCGCTAAAGTGCCTTTACCAGATGACTTTTTAAGTGCTAATCGAAAAATTTGCTACAGGTAAGCTGCTTCCACCGGATGAACAAGCAAACACCATCTACGATGATCTATTGGTATTATCTGGGAAAATTATGTAAACAAGGGTTCTTAGGCGCGCAAAAAACAACGACCTGCCAGTGCTCCCGTCAGAAACCGGCTACATATGTTCGGCCTGCCGTGAAAATTTCGCACCTTTTCTCTGGTTAATTGTATTTTCGTCAAGTTGTTGATTGCATGAAATAGCAATACAATATTCATCAGTTTTTCCAGTGTATTTGTCTCCAGAGATTATGAAAAGCGTGCGGAGAACAGTTTACGTCAACATCGAAGCACTGAATTACCTAAGTGTATTTACATTTGGCCTGAAGTACCTGGCCATGGACCAAGAGAATAAATATAATATTTATTCTCTTGGTCCATGACCTGGCATTGTGATGTTACTTGCAGCATGTATACCTGCTGTTGGCACCTTAGCGGAAGGAAATTTACCGGTTAGCGGTTAAAAAAGTCATTCGGTTAGTGAAGACGCCTCAGCGGTAGGAAATTTTCCGGTTAGCGGTCATAAAGTTTTCCGGTAAAGGTACCTTAGCGATAGTTAGAAGATTTTCTGGTCAATGTACCATACTGCCGAAAAACATTTTATTCGACGGTACCGTACCGACAAATAACGTTTAATTCGACGGTACCGTACCGACAAATACCGTTTTATTCGACGGTACCGTACCGACAAATAACGTTTTATTCGACGGTACCGTGCCGCCGAAAAACTACTGCGTTTTTTTCAACTCTCGATTTCAATATGATTGGGTTCACTATCAATTTGAAATTTTAAAGAAAGAAATTGCCGTTACAGCAGATAAAGGATGCTTGAAGACTGAGCACTATTTTTTACTGCTACTCCCCTGATTTCCCTCGCGACTTCGCTTTGTCACGAATATCTGTAAACGAAATTGATAGTAAAAATATGTAGGTATTTAACTCATAAAAATCTCTTTAATTTGAAGAGGTACTTTTGTATTAATTCTTTTATTTCGTATTTCCTCTACTTAAGGTTGAACCAGAATATTTAGAGTATCGTTTGATTCAAGCAGAGGCAAAATATTTTAGAGGCATCTCATTGCTTTCTTGTCTATGAACTGAAAATTACCTATTTCTTGAAGTCAACGCTGAGATTCGCCTGATAATGACTCATGATCGAAAAAATGAGCGACTGGTTTATAAATCATACCTAATCTGCAACAACTCGCCAAGCAAAATGCTCATTCTGACATTCATAAGTCATCAAAAGGTATATTTGATTTGATTTTTGGCCCGAAAAGATACTTACTTATCAACTATCATCAGGCGAAATACATTATTGACCTCCGGATTCGACTTTTGCCTCAATCGATGACATTACTTAGATTGTTAGTGCAGGGTTTCTGAAATATATTGTCTCTAGATCCAAGTTTTTAAACATAGATTTGCTTGATGGCAAAAAATCAAACCCACCTAGAATACTTGGCTGGTCAAACCAATTTCTCATATGGACATTTTTAGGAATATCCCAATCCGAGGCGTTGAGGTTGGATTTCCACAAAACCGTCTGCTTCAACTCCTTAAATACGGACAAAAAAGTGTTGACAGCCTCCTTTCGGAAACTGCTTGCTTGCAACAATGTCCCGAAGCAGAAAAATATTACTCCGTTTTCCGCTTGATCCATGATGACCTTGATTTCCTGAGGAGAATCGGATAATGTGATGAAGTCATAGGAAAGTGGATTTAAAGGTGAAAGCTCAAAATTATTGAATTGGTTTCTCATGGAAGGATTTAAATCCACAAAACCAAATACGAGACAGGCGAAACATCTACTTTCTTGTCATGCAGGGGAACTAAAGATGGTGAATGTGGTGGTGGTGTATGGTCTGATCTATGTTCAAAAGATGGGTTGGCATATGAATGAAAGTTCTAACATATTTTTTGCGGTGGGGAAATTTTTAGTACCCTTTAAGGCTGATATGATATGTTGGTCTTACGCCCTTTGTTATACGAAGATGCGAAAAAATCTGGGACATTTAGTAGGAAAAAAGTAGGTTGAAATTGAATTTTGAAAGGAATTTTACTCATTTTCATTATTTAAAAGGAGTATGATCGCAAATTAGATTTAAAAAAAAAAGGATTTAGAGTTTACGTTGCTTTTTTCCTACTTGGAAATTACTTCAAAACATGTATAGAGGCACCCAAAAGAGTGGTGAAAATGCTAAAATAAATATTAAAATATTTTTATTCATACCCTACCACAAAAAACCAATTTCATTTTCAGTCCAGCAATCAAGCGTGACGGAGGTGTAGACTCTACGGATTTGGTAATTATGATTCAAGGAGGCTTGTTTTCAAAACTTCTCTCGAGAGATGACGTTAAGGTGATTCGATGGACGCCATATTTTGTGTCAAAACGACGTGCAATATATCGCATCAATTGGTTCTATTTTTTCAGCTACTCGTTTTTTTTCTCAAATTCTGAGATCGCAATTCTATTGTAAGGAGACTAAAGAATCCCCTTACCAATATTAACAAACAAATTCAACGTAATATAGGCGTCGTTTACAAGAGAGAAAATATCGCATTCGAGTGCAGTTTCAATATCAGTATCAAATGCGATATTATTCCTCTAAAAAATCACGCGTTTATTAGGTAAGTTGAATTTGTTTGTCAAAACTTAAGTGAATTCTTTAGTCTCCTGACAACAGAACTGCGATCTCAAAATTCGAAAAAAATGACGAGTAAGTAGCTAAGAAAATGGAACTAATCAATGCGATTTATCGCATGTCGTTCTGACACAAAATACAGCGTCCATTGAATCACCTTAGGCCTTAATTTCATCTAATCACAGCAAGTACCCGCGAGGACCCGATTTTGTAGAACAAGAATTGAAAAAAGATAGTTATTCCTACCTCGTCCAAAGGGTTTGTGCCTTTGATGTTCAGCTCCGATATCTCGATAACGTGTGGCGGATAAAGTTTGGCTCCATCCACGGCAACGTTTCCAGTAAGTAGGTATAAAGAAATATTGTGCAGCATGTCTCTAATACGAGGCAGAGGTTTTGAAATATACTTGGCAAGCAAGGCGTCATGCTGCGGATAGTACCTGAAATATAAAGGAAGGTGTAAAAAGTATAAATAACTGAGAAAATTACTTACCAAATTGTTTCCTCGTTGTAAGTATTTATTTTTTAAAAAAAAAAATTCTGGAAAAAAACCTTTGAACTTTAAAATTCGTACTTTTTACTTTTATTGATCGTAATAATAAAAAAGAAGTTACCTAAGACTTGCCGACTAATTGGGAACGGATTGCGCACACCCTCAAGAGATCTTGGTGACTAGCTTTGGGAAGGTATAGAAGGAAAAGTTTAAATGGATGCATCCAAGCATTCCCAAACCAGAGGAAAAGGGGGAAAAGGGGGGAGGAAGAGAAGAATCACTTCTTTTTCAACGTAGTTAACTTAATCTTTTCCTCCTTTTACTTCTCCTTTCGCCTCGTACCCTACTTCTCTTTTCTCTGCGCGTTCTTCCCCTCCATCTCCTCCTTTCTCTTCTTCTTCTTCTCCTCTTTTTTTCATTTTCTTCTCAGTCCAGATCTTAGACACGAGTCACTGAGACCACATTTTGCAATGAGAACTCATGCACTATTTTTGCCTCATCTATAAAAGCCTATACCTATCTACGGAGGGAGACCAATGGCACGCATGTTGTTTGGAAACTTAAAAAGGATTATTCGACATATCTTTGCTGGCTCTTACTTCCCCATCATTACTTATCTTCACCGAAACATCTAGTACCATCCGGAGATGAGCGTCCTTACCAGTACTCGTGATACAGCATGGACGCGTACTGCATCCACGTATTCCTGAGCCTTTGGAAGAGACTGAGGGGTCCAGCCGTGCGGAGCTCCATATACGGGAGATAGGCCACGGCGTTGGCGGCGCCGGCGAAGCGGAGCACGTCAGGGGTGTGACCGAAGGAGGCATAGGTGACGACGGGAGCGTCAAAGATGTGGCCAAGCACGGCAAGCGCCTCCTGCCCAAAAAACAGCTCTAGGAAGACCAGGTCGAACCGCGAGGCGCCGCGGGTCAGGTCGCCGAAAACGGTGGAGCCCAGGACTTCGGGCACGAATACGTCGGCGTGGAGCTTCCATTGGTCGATGCTGAACTGGTCGTCCGTCAGCGAGAGCTCCATCATGTTCCAGTCTGAAATCGGGAACGAGCAGTTCCGTCAGTCCGGCGGGCTGATTATTGGAATTGACAGACGAAGTTATGGACGAACTAGACAAATACGTGTAATGAATTGTTTTTTACGAGATTGAAGCGTTATTCTCGAGTGTTATTGAGGGATAGAAAAGGAAAGAGAGGAAGACAAAAATGAGAAAGAAATGGAGAAGAGAAAGAATAGAGCAAGGAGAAGATTAAGAGGAAGAAGAAAAAGAAGAAAAAAAGAAGCGAAATCAGCAGAAGGTGAAAAAAAGAATAAATGGAAGAAGAAAGAGGAGGATAAGAAGAAGAGGAAGCTAATGAGGTTGAAATAGAATAAAAAGAAGAGGTACAGAATGGGGAAGAAGTAGGTAGAACAATTGATGAGGAAGATGGCAAGGAAAAGGAAGAGGAAGGTATGCTTCATTAATTTCTATTAAAAAGCTACGAAAGGCGCATATGCAGTCAGTTCAAGGATCCATGGTTGCGAATAAATAATCTTCAGTGCGAAAAAAGAGCTTGTTGCTAAATTGTTAATACATGCACTTTGACAAAGTTGATTTCCAAGGGCCATTGAAACATAATAATTGCACCCGTAATGTGGAAGGTGGACAAGGTAGTTAAATGTCCATAAAATTGACTACGTTTAGCGATTGCAAACTTGTATTTCTGCTGGCTGATTAGTGAAATAGATGGATAAAACTATACAGGGTTATCCAAAAGTCACTGACCACCCCTGTAACTTTTTTCCAAATTGAGATGGAAGTTTGAAACTTTGGGAATGTTCCTCGGTCTAAAGTAGCAACTTTTTGGTCCCCCCAAAATTTTGAAGGCGGCCCCCCTTAAGGGGGGCGGGGGCTAACTTTTTTTTTCAAATGGCAACCCCCCCTTTGTGATACCTCATTCGAAAGATAATAAAAAAAGAAAATTTTTGGCGCAAACCGCAGGTCAAAATGTTCATTTTTGACAAAATGGCGGCCGGTCAAAGTTCAAAATGGCGGAAATTTCGCATCTCCGTTGTTTATTGACGGATTGGTGTGAAACTCGGAATCTTAGGGTTTTTTGAGATGAGAAAAACGATTCTGGCATTGGTTTTCCAGAAAAGTCAGTCCTTTTCAAAATGGCGGCGGTCAAAATGGCGGCCTCGAGCGGGAAGTGGATATTTAGGCTGCATATCGTTGGATTTGCATGAAACTTGGTATCTGGGGGTATTTCGGCACGAGAAGAACGAATCTTTCAATGGATATTTGAAATTTTGACAAATTTCAAAATGGCGACGGAAAAATGGCGGGAAATCAGTTTTACGGCTGTTTACCGATGGATTAGCATGAAATTATTTGATATTTCAAGAATCTAATGAAAGATTCCTTTTTATCCAGCCAAAAACCGCCAGGATATCGATTTTCATGCAAATCCATCGGCGAACAGCCGTAAAACTGATTTCCCGCCATTTTTCCGCCGCCATTTTGAAATTTGTCAAAATTTCAAATATCCATTGAAAGATTCGTTCTTCTCGTGCCGAAATACCCCCAGATACCAAGTTTCATGCAAATCCAACGATATGCAGCCTAAATATCCACTTCCCGCTCGAGGCCGCCATTTTGACCGCCGCCATTTTGAAAAGGACTGACTTTTCTGGAAAATCAATGCCAGAATCGTTTTTCTCATCTCGAAAAACCCTAAGATTCCGAGTTTCACACCAATCCGTCAATAAACAACGGAGATGCGAAATTTCCGCCATTTTGAACTTTGACCGGCCGCCATTTTGTCAAAAATGAACATTTTTACCTGCGGTTTGCGCCAAAAATTTTCTTTTTTTATTATCTTTCGAATGAGGTATCACAAAGGGGGGGTTGCCATTTGAAAAAAAAGAGTTAGCCCCCGCCCCCCTTAAGGGCCGCTAAGGGGGCCGCCCCCCAAAATTTTGGGGGGCCAAAAAGTTGCTACCTTAGACCGAGGAACATTCCCAAAGTTTCAAACTTCTATCTCAATTTGGAAAAAAGTTACAGGGGTGGTCAGTGACTTTTGGATAACCCTGTATGTATACTAAACAAAGAGAATGAAGCTATCTTTTCGGTGGAGGCAAGTGGTTGCAATGAACAGAGGAGGTAAGTTATTACTTCCTAGTCTATTAACCAACTATGACAACCCACGAAAGACCCAATGTTCCCTCATAGTCTTTGACAACCACTTATTTCAAAGGATAAGATCGTTTCATTTCCGTTTTGCATGCTATGTCGTTTCGTCTATCAATGGAGATGTTTCATGTGTGAGAAATTTGCGACTTGATTATTGATTCTTAGGTAAAAGTTTGCGAGAAACACGATGGTGCCACTGGTTTTCTCTGCGAAATCAACTCACAAGCTCAAATATAAAGCTATCAAGTTGAGGCTAAAATGGAGGGGATATCCCACGCTATCCTGAGAGTCCACCTCTACATCAAGACAAACTCTTCATGCAAAGATAGGGAGGAAATACATTAGCAGGGCTGCCACCTTACTTAGGGACTCTAAAACTGAAATCACGGCAACCCTGTAAATGTATTTGCTCTTTGCATGGAGAGTTTGTCTTGATGTAGAGGTGGACTCTCAGGATAGCGTGGGATATCCCCTCCATTTTGGCCTCAACTTGAGAGCTTTTTTTGAGCTTGGAAGTTGATTTTAGAGAAAACCGGTGGCACTATCGTGTTTCTCGCGAACTTTTACATCGGAATCAACAGTCAAATCGCAAATTCCTCACACGTGCAACATCTCCATTCCAATAACTAGCGCGCAGTAGCGTTATCCATCTGAAAATTGCATGTTCAAGGGATTCCTCATACTCACCAGCAGCTGTATGTTTCATGAATCGGTCCGCGGATAAGAAAATATGTCGAAGATTGGATGTCTGGTCCTTTGGTGGGTACGGGCTGACGACGGTGACATTGTGGCCGCGGAGTGCAAGTGCGTAAAATATTGGTTCCACTTGATCGTAGTGGCTTCGAAGAGGGTTTGGCAAAAATACAAGAACGCTAAAGGCGTCATAGCTGTGCGACCAACTAAGCACTATCAGCACCACAGTTAACTTCATACCTAAACAATTGACCAACACTAGAAAAATTATAAAAACTACCATACTTACCTACCTGCTTGCATGAAATGTTAAATTTGAATAAAAGAAAAAACATTTAAACCACACGAATTCAGAAACCTTAATTATTTGTTCTTTCTATGTAAAATTTGAGTGGAATTTTAAAAGTTCTTTAAAAAGGAAGTTATAATAAAAAAGGTTATTAAAATTATGTTCAGTTCTACAAAATCACTCGCATTGATAATGAACACAGAATAAACTGCGAAATATCCAATGAGAGGGACTTACATATTAAACATACCAAGTGCATGTAAGATCTTCCTCGATATTATTTAATAAAATGTGTAACACGTAAAGCATTACGCCTGCGGCACAAAGCGTTGAGGAGGCGTAACCCCTAGTTTTTTAACAAAATTTCGTATAATAAAGTCATACCTATATAACTTGTACCTATAAAAGCAAAGTGGTATTTTTACGGTAAAAAAGAAAGGTTTCCTAACTCGGATTTGACAACAATTTTTTACACAGATAGTGGAATTTTCTCTTTGAAATTTACGAGTTTTTACAACTTCTCTTCAACGGCCGATGTTATTAAATTGGGGAGTGTCTGTTTTGATCCCGCGCGGCCCAACACACCACGAAGAGACGCGCGAACCTTTCGATACCGCTCAAATCACTTGTACTGAAGTTATGGAAGATAGTGCGGGGGAAGAGGCTGTATTGGAGCTTTGAAGGTTTGATTTTGAGCATAGTAGTTACGTAACCACTGTTTCCATGCAGAAATGGTGTAGTGGGGACGCCTGCTGGGGAACAATCTTGTTTGGCCGGTTATCTTCTCCCGTGGGCACGGACTCATGCGTCCATTCATATGATTTTAGTGATTACGTCATACGAGCATAGAGTGCATGCGATACGCTAACGCTGTCCGATGACCCTCATCTGAGCCCGTGGCACACGATCAAAGTAGAACTCTCAAATTGAATGACACTATTTCTTTAATTTCTCATCAAGTTCTTCGCGAAATTCCGTGAAAATTTCAAAACATGAACTACGATGTGTTTCAAACAAATCTCTTACCTTTAAAGATCGTCGGCTTTGAGAGGATGTCAGTCAACGATGCCATCAATGAGCCATTTGAGAGCTCTACTTTGATCGTATGATGCGAGCAAAAAACAGAAACGTAACCTTGTCACCGCCGGTTTACACATTATATATACGCCCAGCACTCCGATAGCTAAGGGATCCCTATGCTGAGGCAAAATATGAAGCTTCGAGGTGAGCAACTTTAAAGTTTATTTCACATGGTGCTAATGATGTCTAGACAAAATACACTCTATTCACAGTTAAAGAACATTTCGATAACTGAAATTATCCATTAAGGAAGTTCCTTAAACCAAGGAGCAAGATCAGTAACTCTGAGGTTCAGTTTCTCACTGCATGAGTTGGAACCATCGAAAGTACTACAGATGTTTAGTTGAAGGGGTAAATTACTGATTCAGAGAGTAATCAGTCATTTTAGGACATGTTTGAAGAATTTCAAAGGAAAAAATTGGATAATTTACTACTTTAAAATTAAATTTAAACAATCCGTCATTGTGTCCGAGCTAGCGCACAAATTAAATACAGTAAACAAGCCATGAAGCGAGTCATTAGGCCTTTCAACGTCATACTAGCACATTTTCTTTTATTTTGGCGAGACTTGGTTAGAGGGGTTGTCTGACGAGTTCGATGTTTTAAGGTGGATCAATTTCAGTGACAACACTTAGCGCTTAAATTTTTCTCTCTTACTCGATAGAAACACGCGGCTTTCTCTGTGAAACTTTCAAAGTGCTGCTCTTATAGGACAAGCTTCATCAATAACTTTATTGTAAATACGGTTTCTAGATTTAAAAATAGTGCTGTATCGCCCGAAACCTCTGTATGGCTCCAAATCGCCAACGCCATCGGCTAGAACCTACGATAATAATGAAGGAATTCGCATGCATTTTTGAGAATGAGGATGGTTATAGATCATTTAATTATCTAGAAAATATGACTCGAATTTAATGCAGAAATATTCAAAACATTGCTGTGAAAAATGTAGGCCTGAAACGTATTGTTGCCGAATGAATCCGCCATTTAGTGTTCTAGTTGGTGATGACCGATGGGCATACAGCCGAAGTTCAACCAATAAATCACACATGAAAACGCAGAGAAACATTTCACTTCAACATTGTTCACTTTCGCCATAGGTAAAACATGTTTCTTGCAAGATTCCCTTCCTAAAAGTGACAGAGTTAGTCAAGCGTTGCCCGGGAAAATCATCTACCTTCAAAAACTAGAAACTCGCCAAACAATCCCTTAAGCCAAGTCTCGCCAAAATGGAAGAAAATGTGCTACGACGTTAAAATTTGGCCTAATGACTGTTCAAAGCTCCTAGTTAAACATCGTTAGAACCCGAATATTTTCCATCGTTACCAAGTTACAGCAAAATTCCGAGTTTTTTGGTCCCTCCTCGTACTATACGTCTTGGTTTTTTGAACATTTGAGTTTGCAACATTTTATAACAATAAGGAAAAGAAAAGTAAAAAAGGGAAAACTGGAAAATGTCCGAGAAAATAAGATAACAATAAATAGAAAACAGAAAAATTTCAAAAAGCGACTGAAAAATATAGTGAAAATAGGAAAAATCGGGGAAGACTAGAAAAATTAGAAGTAGCTAGAAAAATCAAAAGTAACAAAAAAATCGAGGGAAACTAAACCAAAGCGAAGGACCTGTCTAAAATTTATCCAAAAAAACTGGAAAAGCTGGGAGAATCGAAGAGAATACGATGATGTGAAAGCAAATTAGGAAAATATTAGGGTAAAGTAGGAAAGTACCTATCAATGGAAACGGAAATTATTAAGATTAGCTGAAATAAATCAGAAAATATCGGGGAAAATGACAAATAAATCATGCGGGGATCTATTGGAAAAAAGTAAGAAGTCCCGGAAAACGTATCTAGATATCAGAGGAATCTTGACCTTATAAATGATAACAGGGAAATCTGGAAAAAATCAGGCAATAATGCTGAAATCTAGGAAATATCAGCGAAACAGAAAAAAATAAAAGAAAACGAAGGAATCTTGGCAATTTACTCAAACAACTAAAATAGAATCCGGGAACTATGGAAATATCAGGATGGAGAAATAGGAAAGATTTAAGGAAAATTGGATAGATTGGCAGTAAATTGAAAAGAATAAAGGGACCATTAGAATTTGCACGGAAATTTGGAAACACTGGATAAAAAAATAAGGGGAAAAAGCTGCGGGAAAATTGAGAAAGAATCAGTGGAAAATGAAAGAGCCGTATGCAAAAACGACATTTTTCGCCCCCCCCCCACTAAAACTTATTCAAACTTCGTCTATCAGTTACTAATACTGGAGCGCTTCTTTCCCCAAATTTTCAGACCCCCAAAAAATTTTGGGGGGGCGCTAGGGGGGGTGGAAGTCAAAACCTGTGAACCTCGATATCTTTCGAACGAAACAAGATATTGAGGCCCGGTTTGGACGAAAAATCGTCTAAAATTGCATACTTTAAGATTCTAAAGGTCAAAAGGTTTTTAAAATTACAGCTCCGTAGCGCTATTTTAGAGGCCCACTGAGCGCCAACCAGCCGCTCAGTGGTCCTGTGCGGAGCTGTAATTTTAAAAACGTGAATTTTTTGGAAGTATCTGTAATTTCTGAACTCAGCGACCCTCGAGAGTCCCTAATAATGCATTTTGCTCAGTTTGATCATTTAATCTGATTTAATAACAGTCAAATCCGACTTTTTTGCGCGCGAAAATCGGTCGGCGCGCGTTGAGCGGAAACCTCAAATGATCATAACTCCGGAACCGTTCGGTTCCCCAGCTTATACGACCACTCGTTGGATGCGGAAAAAGACGAGTAATTTAAAAAACTGGGTTTGGTTCAAATCAAAAAATGTGAAATTTCAGTTTAATCTGTTTAAAAGAAATTTTTTTCCTCAAAAACTGGAAAAAAGCACATAAGTTAATTTAAAAATTTAATTTTGGGATTTTGACCTTTAGAATCTTAAAGTATGCAATTTTAGACGATTTTTCGTCCAAACCGGGCCTCAATATCTTGTTTCGTTCGAAAGATATCGAGGTTCACAGGTTTTGACTTCCACCCCCCCTAGCGCCCCCCCAAAATTTTTTGGGGGTCTGAAAATTTGGGGAAAGAAGCGCTCCAGTATTAGTAACTGATAGACGAAGTTTGAATAAGTTTTAGTGGGGGGGCGAAAAATGTCGTTTTTGCATACGGCTCTTTTATAGGTAACTCTGATATAAACTAAAAACAAGACGTTCCAACGCTATAGTGTTGCAGGATGCGCTTCTCTTAGTGGCAGAAGGAAGTAATATAGTTGCCCATACTTTTTCAGTTAAAAGAGAACCATGAAAAAAATTCTCCCCGGCGAGGTATCGAACCCCGACCTTCGAGGTTAAAGCTGGGCGCAGTGTAACTCAGCCACGCTGGAAGCGCTGTTGTAATTTGAGAAACAACTCTATTTAACTAAAAAATGAACTTTTAGGTCGGAGAATTAAGAGGCGCTTTCAGAAGTTCCTTGGACACATGCTTCACTGCTGTTTTTCGAGGATCCACCTTATTAGCGTCTTGGCCCAATGGATTGGCCCTGAGGCAAATTAGTATTTGGATTTATCATGAATTAAATCGATCAATCGTTATATGAACATCTGCTTTGGGCTTTTATGGACGGAATGGGTCCTCCACAGCAATTTTCTACCATGTACGATGCTCATTATTTTTTCTTTTTATTCTCGAAATTTGAAGTGAGATAATGGCGGCCACAGAGAAAACCCAATGAAAAAATGGACCAATCACAGAAAAGCACAGTAAAACCAAGTAAAGAGATCACGTGACTACTCCTAAATTTTTCAAATTTACTCGAAAAACACATATCGGGTAAATATTTAAGTATGACGAGGACCTTAAAATGATGTAACCCGGTGATAAATCCGTGCACATTTGTTTGGCACAAAATCCAACATTCTACACTATTTCTAGGAATAACAGAAAACGAAAAAGATCAAAATGTTACCGCCTGAACCAAAATTGCATCATTCCCCATGAGACAACACGCTCTGTCCCATGTAACACCTGTTACAACGAAGAGTCGAGCGGCTAAGAAGGGCACATCTGGTAAACCAGAAGCACCCAAAATGGTATAATGTCTCATTTTACAGGGTGCGGCAAAAGTCCCGGGACCCCTGTTTAATTTTTTTACGGCTGCAGCTAGGAAAATGAAATTTGGGGGTTAGTCCTAGGTCAATGAAAGCTACTTTTTGACCCCCCCCCCCAAAAAAAAAATTTCGGGGGCCCCCCCTTGGGGAGAGTTACGGACTCTAACTTTTTTTTTTCAAATGGGAAGACCCCCTTTGTGATATCTCGTTCGAAAGAGCATAAAAAAGAAAATTTTTCGCGTAAACCCGAAGTCATTATCTCAAACCGTTTCAAAATGGTGGCCGGTCAAAGTTCAAAATGGCCGGAAATTGGCACCTCTGCTATTTGCACATGGATTTGCTTGAAACTCAGTATCTGGGGGTATTTTGGCACGAGAAAAACGAATTTGACGTTAGATTTTTAAAATAACCCTAATTTTTCTAAATGGCCGCCGGTTTAGGCTCAAAGTGGCCGAAAATTAGACAAACTCGATTTTTTGCCGATGGATTCGCCTGAAATTCGGTTTCTGGGGGGTATTTTGACCCGAGAAGAACGAATTCGACGTTACATTTTTAAACTAACCCAAAAAATCAAGTTTGACAAATTTTCGGCCACTTTGAGTTTAAACCGGCGGCCATTTAGAAAAATTAGGGTTATTTTAAAAATCTAACGTCAAATTCGTTTTTCTCGTGCCAAAATACCCCCAGATACCGAGTTTCAAGCAAATCCATGTGTAAATAGCAGAGGTGCCAATTTTCGGCCATTTTGAACTTTGACCGGCCGCCATTTTGAAACGGTTTGAGATAATGACTTCGGGTTTACGCGAAAAATTTTCTTGTTTTATGCTCTTTCGAACGAGATATCACAAAGGGGGTCTTCCCATTTGAAAAAAAAGTTAGGGTCCGTAACTCTCCCCAAAGGGGGGCCCCCGAAATTTTTTTTTGGGGGGGGGTCAAAAAGTAGCTTTCATTGACCTAGGACTAACCCCCAAATTTCATTTTCCTAGCTGCAGCCGTAAAAAAATTAAACAGGGGTCCCGGGACTTTTGCCGCACCCTGTATAAGAGAATTAAGGAGTCTTTAATAATTGGATTCTGAAATAAATTGATAGCTAACAAGTTCATTGTACGTATGTATATGGAAAACACGAAACTTAATTGGGAAACTAGGGAGAATGAGGGAAAACTGACAAAAAAGCGGGATAAATAGAAGAAAATAATAAATAATCGGTATTAACAGATAGACTTTCGGATAAACTAGAGATTTTCTTTTTAAAGAAAAACGGTGATACCAACGGCAAAGTAGGAAGGAGCAGAATACCCATACAGGGCGGAGGGGCGAAAATCGAAGAAGCGAAGAAAAACATCTAAGGAAACAGGAAAATATCAGGGAATACTGAAAAGAATGGGAGAAATTATAGATGATCCGGGAAAAGAAGGAAATATAATTAAAAAATGGGGATACTCGGGAGAATATCAGGTAGAACAGGAACATACGATAATAAGAGTACTGTAGGAGGGAAACTAAATCGAGCGAGAGTACATGGAGATTCCGGAGGAAATGAGGGAATATCAGGGAAAACTGAAGAAATCAGGGAAAAGAGGGAAATATAACGACAATCTGGAGAATGTTGGCAAAATTCTCCGACCGAGAGGCGGGAAACGGGAATCCAGCGGTGGGCGCATGCGTTTTGGAGTCGTCGCGCCCCAACGACAATCGATACGTGTATGCGCCAGAGGTCCTCCACCGCACTAATCAATGACCGCGCAACTCAAATCGAAGACCCTACGCAGATACGCTGTTTTGAATGAGCATGTCAGTCTCTTGCTTTTATCAGTCTGTCAGTAGGATGCGAAGCAGAAAATGGCCGACACGGAATTCGAGGAGTTCCACTGCAATAATTACTTTGAGAAACTCTCGGTTCAGCAACACCCCTTCACGCACCCTTACACGTGAGTTTTTCTAAAAGTTCGATGAATTTTTCCGTTCAATTTCACAACCGCAAACTCAAGGGAGGAGATTCGTTGTTTGGAGAAGTCGATACGTAAACTAAACGTGTTTGCGCTTGTTTACGTATTGTTCCTTCCGATTTTATAAAATTGTACAAAGAGTGCTCCTTCCCGAATTAGTATTCAATATATGATATGTAATGCATATGTAAAAAATAGATACAAACAAAAAATACATATACGTGTAGTATTATGAAGTATGTACTTTATTATCTTTGGTATTAGGTTTAAATTTGAAGTTTAAATGTGTTCTTTTTAAATCCAAACAAGTCCCGAACAGGAATATTTTTCTGTCATTCGCAAAAAATCCATCCAAATGTGAGGAAAAGTTTGGATAATCACACTGCAAAAGATAAAGGATGAAGTTCTTTCTGTAAAAATAAATGTTTTATAGAAAATGGCGAGGAAAATGTGTACAAATATTATGAGGAACACAATTGTTCGCATGAATAAGTCCCAAAAATGTGATTTTGAGGGACTTTTTGTATTCTCCCTGATTTTTAGGAACATTTTCTTCAGTAGTAAGAGGAGCTCCCTTAATATTTCCTTATGTGAGCTGATAGAAACTATATAGGTACAAATACACTTCCCAGGTTTAGAGCTCCGTAGTTCCTTCAGATTTGACGCGATAGTAAATATTTCCTCTTTACTGCATTAACGCATGCGAACATCTAATTCTATGGGTAATGAATGTGTAAAACAAACAAATATTAACACAAAAAAATACTTGTACGTATGGTAGATGAATAATGATGATGTATGATATATAAAGAATATATGTATAACTATGATAAAGTACATATTTTTATGTACTACTACGTACTATTTTCCTGAATTTCGGCAGTATTTCCCTGATGTTTGGGAAAACTGTCCCTGATAAATGGCATTTGTGAAAAATCTTATTTTTCTGATTCGGTCGCTTTTGTGTTAAAAAAAGACATGTACAACTGAATTAAATGTACAAGATACATATCCAATAAGGAGCCACACTTTCTGGCTGAGAAATTAAAACATAAATCTGAATGCGGAAACTAATGCTTGCTTGAGCCAGAAATAATACTCTCTTGTTTCTTATACTCCAAAGCTAAATAAACTATGTCTCTCCTTCGGTATTTTTACATTTTTGCGCTTCCTCGCTCCTCTCGATTTTATTTCCTTGCCCATAGATATTTATCAGTCCCCTTCAGCGTACATATTTTCATTTTCCCTGGTTTTCACGGAGATTTTCCTGATTTTTCCTTATCTTGAAAAATATTTCCCTGCTTATTGCGGATTTTTGCTGAAAGTAAATATTTATACATAACAAATGTATGGACGGAAACTGTAAGGCACGCAAATCCTATGTTCATGGTTCCTTCTTGGTTCTGATCGACCGAATTAAATGACTTTCGTTGTGTAATAACGACGTTGTGTAATAACGACGTTTCTAACTTATTTTAGAAACGGCATACGTACCATTCGTTGTCTAAAGCAGGTACGTGATTTTACGGAAACTAGAATTCGACGGTGAAACTACCAAACCACGTATCTCGGTTTGCGACGTCGGAGACTTCCTGTCATACTTTATTTTTTAAATGAAAAACTACTTAACATCCGGTCTTAGAAATTTCTGTGATTTTTCCTCTTTGTGCGGAGAAAATTTCGTGAAAATTTCAAGGAATGATATTGATTTGGTCTACTTCAAAAAAATAAAATGTGAGCGTAGATTTTTGAACACCGCAAACGAGATACGTGGTTTGGTAGTTTCACCGTCGAATTGGGCTACACCTTGCAATTATAGTCCATCTCAAGAAACCTCTTTTTATTCAGCATTACAATCAGAAAGGGCAACGCATCAGTCTTAGCCGCATTGGCCGGACCGCTCGCTGGACATCCTCTTCTGTGCAGTTAAAAGAGGCCTGCAACCCGTTCATTGTCACGGTAGAAACAATAGGCACCCTTGATCCCTCCTTGAAGAGCTCTTGTACCTGGACCGACATTTTTTTGCCGTTAAAAAAATTCATCTCTTAACGTGAGCCCTCAGTTTCGGCGCGAAATTTTGATAAAAAGGCACAAAAATTCCGTTCAATTATCGTAATTTTAAGCCGATGTACGACATTTTCGCATAATCGCCATTCGCCGAAAACGCCGTATATTGGCTCGAAATTAAGATAATTGGACGTGTTTCTATTAAACAGAACTTAGTTGCGAAGGGAAAGATGGGGTGTGCTCGTTGTCGTTGGTGCTCGGGCAAACGAATGAATGGGAAATATAAGCGCCGGTGACGTCAGCGGCAACGACGAGAGAAACGACAATCATGAAGGCGGTCTTTGACTCATGAGCCCTGTCCACAAGGCTCTGCATACGTGCATACCCACGGCTCATTCACTGTGCACGTAGTTCCGTTTGACAGCACGTGAAATCCCGCTTCCCCAATTCTGCAGACGGAACTGTGAGCCAACTAAGTGCGGCACCCATGAGCCGTGGGTATGTATCTAGAGCCTTGTCAGCAGGGCTCATGCAGTTAATACCGCCTTCCCGATCGTCGTTTCTCTCGTCGATGCTGCTGACGTCACTGGCGCTTAATATTTCCCATTCATTCTTATGGCCCGAGCATGAACGAGCACACCCCATCTTTCCCTCTGCACATAGCTCTGTTTGATAGAAATACGTCCAATTGAAAGGAATTTTGGTGCGTTTTTATCATAATTTCGCGCTGGAACTAAATTTGCACGCTGAAGGATAAAATTTTCAACGGCGAAAAAATTTTTGTCCGGGCATGCCCATTGTTTCTACCCTGACAATGAACGGATTGCGGACCTCTCTTCGCTGCACAATAGAAGGTGTCCAGCGAGCGGTCTGGTCATCGCAGCCGAGACTGATGCGTTCATGGAAAAAAATATTTGCTAATGCGTTCATGGAAAAAAAATATTTGCCAAAATGGCAAAAAATGGTTTGCGATTTCTGCAAATCGCTTTTTTGCTAAAATGCCCACAATCCTGTCGAGAATGGCAAAACAATTTGCAAAAATAGTAATTTCATTGTGCGAAAACAGCAAACTAAAATTTTGCGAAAATAACATTACTGGTTTATGCTGTTATCGCTAAAATGTTTGCTACATATTTGCAAATTGTTTGCCGAATTAGCGTATGATTTTGCTCTTTTTACTAATTATTTTGCGAAACTTACTAAAATCAATCGCTACTTTAGCAATCTTAATATTGCGATTTACAACACCTCATTAATTGCTGTTTTTACAAGAATTATTGCCAATGTAGCGTTATTATTGCGATTACAACAAATAAAAAAGCTATTTGTACAATTTAATTTTGCTGAATTAGCAAATTGTGTAAAACTGCTGATTTTGCAAAATTATTGTTAAGTTAGCAGTCTCATTTTGCAATATTCGCAATAGCAAAATACAACCGTGTGCGCGCGCTCTGGGAGACGTTTTTGGTACTGATGATCTTGACTGGTACCAAATATTATAAGAATCCGTTAATAAACACGCATAACACGAACTCAGAGGCCTGCGATAGTTTAAGAGATGGACTTTAGGGGCCCGTTGATATCAAACCTGGCTGGTCTGGTGGTGAAGTGCTGGACTTCGGACATCAACTCCATCCCGAGGCGTGGGTTCTAATCTCGACTAGGACGGCACGGATTTTAAGGTAAGTAGAAACTTCTCGACTCACCTCCTGCAGGCTGATTATTTACTTTCATAGATCTCGGCTATAGATCTGCAAATCTCATCTATCGCGCATCTATGATCAAACTATTTGTGATTCTACACTGTGATTCTATCCGATGGATGAGCGATAGATCAGCAGAATTGGAATACAGTGTTGAACGATTGCTTTGAAATGAAAATAATCGTTCTGACCAATCAGACACCTTGATTCACTGAGTGAAGAAGAAGAAGCGCGTAGGAAACCTAACCTCCAAATAGATCATTTATCGTGTTTTACTCAACTCCATCTTATCAGCTACCGTGGCGCAGTGGATAGCGGCGTCGATATTCAGTCGCTACCAATCCGAGCGATGGTGGGTTCGAATCCCGCCGCGGCAGTACCAGTCGGCCAATCAGAAGCACAGTTTTAATAGATGTCACCGCATCTACTGCCTTAGGGCCGGGAGATCCGCATCTATCAGTGGATCTATAGCTGGATCTATTGAAATTAGTTCTGAATCGCTCGGAATCTCTGTCTCATAGATCCGCAGCCCGCATCCATCAAGGTCAATAGATGAGGGAAGTAAATAATCAGCCTGCAGGTCCACTAACGCAGCTGCACATTCGAAAGAAGAATAGTATCGAAAACGTCTCCTGGAGCGCGTGCACACAGTTGTATTTTGCTAATGCGAAAATCGCAAAATGTGATTGTTAACTTAACAATAATTTTGCAAAACCAGCAATTTTATTCGGCGATTTTCGCATTTTTTATATGTGGGAGTACTAGCAATTTCACATTGCGAAGATCGCATTTTTTCATTCTGCTTTTACAGCAAAAATTTGTTTTGCTGTTTTACCACCCGCATTGCAAGTCCCGTTTTTAGCAATATGAAATTTCTATTTTATTCACCCTCCTGAGTATTACAGCAATGTTTTTTTTTTTTTTTTTTTTTTTTTTTTTTTTTTCGTGTTGCCATTCATGCCGAATAAAGTCTTAGGTTTTGTGAAATGAACAATAGGAACAAACGTTTTAGACTCATTTTAAAAAAATGCGCTATTAATGATTTTACGCAGAAAAATTCCGCTCCTTTTTTTCTTCTCAATTTTCTTCATCTTTATCTTCATCCTCTTCATCTTCTTTAGCTTCATCTTACTTTTCATCGTCTTCTGTTCCTCCTGCCTAGCCTTGCATTTTTTCCTCTTATTTTTCCCTGTGTTTCTCTTATGTCCCCCCATTTTGTCGGCCTCTTTTCCTTTGATTCTCTTTCTCATTTTACCCCTCCTCCTTTCTCTCTATTTTGCTATTAATTTTCTATTCCTCTTCATTCCCCTATTTTTCTTCCTATTTCTTCTCTTCGTTACTCTCCCCACCTTCCTATTCTCCTTTTTCCCATATTCCTCCTAGTCTCTTTTTTTCTTCTCCTCTTCCTCTGCGCCAAAAATAAACAATTTTCATAGCACAAAGTATCCTGATTCGGAGTTCCTTAGCGCGAGATACAGTCCATAATTTTCCCCGATTTCAACACTGTCCTTGAACGAAACTGCTCGATATTCCAGGTTAGTGCATGACGTGAATTTGGATGACGACTCCCCTCTTGAGGGCCCCGAGGCCAAGGGGGCCCCCCGAGCAGGGCCACGTCGCCCCCTGGCCACTTCCTCGAGCGAGGAGGACCTGCCAGCCTCCGTTTTCAGCAAACCCGCTCAGAACAGGAACGAGAAGACCGATAGGAAGGATAAGGAAGATTTCGGAAGTTCGCACCCCAATCACCATCACCCGGAAAGGAAACGACGCAAGCTACCGCAGATCCCCACGCAGAAAAAACGTAAGTCTTCTTCCTATTTTCCTTCTTCTCTTCTCGTTTTTCTATCTCCTCTATTTATTGAGCTCGCCCACTCGGGAGAGCTCTTTGCGATCGATTTCTTTTGACAATTAACAGTGTCCGTGGCGACAAATGGATGGTTCGCGCTGCCGTCGGAGGAACGGCCAAAATCCAATTTATTTTAACTGATTTCAACGTCCAAAAGTTGAATTTTGTCTTTTTTTGCGGGTTACAGTTTTCCTTCGTCGAACATTTCCGTTCCTTCATTCAACGGAGGATTAATTGTTCCTCATTTGCTACACTAAAGAGCACCACTTTCCAAGGGCCGAGCATACTATAGCATGGTGCTACGGTTTTATAGCAAATAACCTAATTGTATGTTATCATCCTCTTATCTTTTCAATGCAGTTTTTGTATGCAGTTGTACTTGCAATTGCTATTATTTCTTAAAGTAAAAAAACATGGTGACCTCGACGTTAATAAATTGTTCATTTAATTCTTCGTTACTAAGACTAAGATTAAAAATTGCGCATAATTAATGGATAATCCTTGAGATTGTCGTTATTGGGCCCATAAGAGGTTAATTAACCTAAAAATAATTGCATGCTTGAAAGAACGATTGAGCCTCATTGAAAATGCTTGAGAGTTTGTTTGAGCCTCGCATTGAGATCCCTCGAGGGTTTGTTTAAACCTAATATTAAGAATGCTTCAGAGTTTGTTTGACCCTCGCATTATTGAATTGCTTGAGAATTCGTTTGAGCCTTTGAGTTTCTTTAGAGTTCGTTTTAACCTTAAAATACAGATGCATGAAGTGCTCTTTCGAGCTCCGGGCAATATATAGTGCGTGAAGTGCTCCATCGAGCCACCGCGTACCTAGAAAGGCGGGAGGTGCTCCATTGAGCCGCACTCGCATACAAAGGCTTGAAGTGCTCTTTCGAGCTCCAAGCTAAAATTCAAGTGAATTCCTTTTCAGCTCTTAATGTATACCATAAGTATTGTGTAAGAACTGTGGCAGAAACGGTCATCCAAACCGTGCCCAATAACAGTTCATTCGAACTGTGCCGACAACAATTCAGAATTTTAGACTGCCAACTTAACAAAGTATAACCTTAATGCAAGTCGGCGACTTGATTAAAAAAAAAAAAAAAAATTAAATCATATGGTTTAATTACATCGTTGCCAAGTTAAGAGAAAGCTTATCAACGATGAAAGCCAGAAACAAAAAAGCGATGGCAAAAACAGCCATTGCGCAACATTTGCTGCAAAATCACATTCGTAAAAGATAATTCCATTTCTCTCTCTTTATTTCTCTTTATTTATTGTAGGTAATGTGACAAATTTGGCTTATGTAAATACATCATAACCTTTTGCTACTGCATGTAACCTCCGATAATTGGATAGGTAAAGATTCAAATAATATATATACAATTTCAGAAAAAATCAATAATAGATATTAATAGTTTCACAAAAGCGAGCTCTCCAACACAGTAATGTTGGAACCAGCAGCTTGTTTCTTCTTCCCTCACCCCTTTTCCTTCTTTTCAACCTCTGTTCCATCTTATCTCCCTTTTAAGTCCCAAATCTTTTAAGCCTAGAGCATGCTTAATTTTTCCGACTTCCTCACATATATTTCCATGCCTTACCAGATCTCTCCAATTTTCCCTGAGACTATCCCCTTCCTTTCGTTTTCCCTGAAAATTCCCTTTCTTCGCTATATCTTACCGGTTCCAGTTTCCGTTCATGATTCTGTGCATTCCTTATTCTTTCCCTAAATCAGGCCAGTACATCTTAATACTCCCCTACTGTCCTTGGTATTTTTCGGATTCATTCCCTATTATTTCCCTGCGTCTTTAGAATTCATCTAGTTCATCCGTGCTTCCCTTATGATTGATCTAGTTTTCCCATTCATTTTCTTATTTTCCCTGATTTTACCATGCTATCTCTTCTGTTTTTCTACTTATTTCCAGTTTCACGTTTATCTTTATGTTTATGTTCTCCTTGATACTTCCTCGTGTTATTTCAGAGCCCCCTGAATTATGCCAGTTTTTTCTTGTTACATTGCCTGATTCTCACAATTTTCCGAGATATTTCCCTATTTTCTTAGTGCCACTGACATTCCCTTTTTGACATGTTTCCCCTGTTGTTTCCCTGGTTTCATTACAGTTTCTCCCTGTATTTCCATGCTATCCCTGATATTCCCCTCCTTTCTCCGATGTCTGTCTAAAATATGTTCTTGTTCTCCTGATGTTCCTTGTTTTCTCACTTATTTCTCTGAATTTTTCCAGTTTTCTTCGACATTCCTGCTTTCTTCCAGTTTCCCCTTATTTGTCCTGAAACTTCCTGCACCTTCTTGTCGCGCCTTACACTGCCCTGCTATTTCCCTGATTTTTTCTGGACACTGCCGTCGCTTTCCTCTACCTTCCTCTGCTTTCCGAACTTGTCTCGACAAAAAAACCTAAAAACATGCACGATTCTTTGCTTTTGTGTGCAGCATTTCTGAGCCTGGCGGAGGAGCTATGCGAGACCCTGTACCCTGAGATGGTGATCGGGGAGAAGGAGAAAGGGATGACGTCACAGGTTCACCCCCGATCCTTCCTGATGATGAAGTGTTTGGAGGAACAGGATTTCTCCCCGACGGAGCACGACCACGACTCAGGGATATCCACCGTCCACTCGCCCGACGGCCCGAAATCTTCCTCACCCAGTTCCAACATGTTCCACGGTAGGTAAGCGCCATTGCGACGGGCTCATTATTGAAACTGAAAGACAAATCTATAGACAAAGAAGACGAATGGGAAACAGGGCAATCCTGTTGAATGATAGTCTAGACGTTCTAGAAATGCTCGATCAAGTCCCCGTCCGGGTGAGTGAAATGTGGAGAGGACTCTTAAAATGGAAGAAAAGAGAAAAGGTCACCAAACCACGTGCGAATTTTGACTTAATTGCAAATAAATTTTTCCAAACGTAAACGTCGCGTATACCTAACACGATGCGTACATTAAAAATGCAAAAAAGGAACTTAAAAACCGAGAAATACGCAGACAAGCGAGCGCAACCTTTCAGCAAAATTTAAAACGCCCCGATTTTACGACGAGCACAGTAATGTCATCCGGCCTCTATCAGAAGAGGGCACGGGTTTCTACGACTTTTGTCGGATGTCTTCCTACTCCACGAAAATGAAAAAAATGGGAGAGTAAAAACTATGTCTTCAGAATCAAAATCGAATCTCATTCGTGTTATCTGAAGTAAACAAGTAGCATTGCCACCTTAAAATACGTTTTATTTGAATAAACATCAAGGGAAAATGAGAGAAGAGAACAATTTGACAACACTTACATTATTTTTACGCCATTCCGGCGCATTTGAAAGTCCTTCGTCTTCGGACTTTTTAAACCGGCCGACTTGTTCGGGATTTTGTCTCGTAAAATAAGCAATAAATAAGCTCAACTAAATAAAGGGTATCCCTGGGTAAGGGCACCAAAATGCCCCTCCTCACGGATTTTGAATTTAATGGTCTAAGCCCTTTCAAGAGGTCCTAAAAACATGCTTTTGGGCAATTTTCCCCTCCTGGCTCCAACCACCCCCCCCCCTCGCCTCCAGCTCCGAAAAACCCATTTTTCGGGGAATTTTGGGGTATTTTCACGTTTTATTTCGTATCTCTCGCAATTTTCGATAAAAATGCACCAAAATTTCACCAATTACACATCAAACCAGTCAGATTCTTGGGTAAAAAAATCAAATTTATCGTATTTTATTTAGGCCCCTAAAAAAATTCGTAAAAATCGTCAATTTCCAATTTTTTTTCAGATTTTAGCGGTTTTTAAAAAAATGAGGACACATACATTTTTTTTTTTTTTTTGCCGTAAAATGTAGGTAATACACCCAGTTGTTACCAAAAAAAATTTCAAGCCTTCACGCGTGCTGCGTTCCACCGAAAAAATGGTTTTTTTGGCGCCAAAACGGTTAAAATGGCTCTTTTGGCAACTCGCACGCTATCAAGATAGTAACACTAAAATCTCTAATTTTTGGTTTCAATGTTTCAAGAAGCATGCCCTAGTATCGTCAGAAAAGGTTTCAAGTCGATCGAGTCCTTGCGCCCCACGTAAAGTACCGGTTTTTGGCGCCAAAATGGTCAACATTGCTATTTCAGAAGAGGTTACTCGTGTAGGGTGGCCCTTACTTTTGAATTTACGGAGTTTAAAGTGCGGAACCCTGCAAATGGTTTCATTTAATGAGAAAATAACGGGGGAAAAATAAAAATTGAGAGAAAAATGTCTTAAAACGCGTCTCAAAGAGCCTGAAGTTCCGAGCGTGGCGTGCGAAGACGCGTTTTTTCGTCGTTTCGCGAATTTTTTTCCTCCCTTTGAAATGTTTCTACGGCTTTGAAATTTTAGAGATTATACACTGTTTAGAGTACTTTACGAGAAAAATAATGAAATTTACATAGCTCAGTTTAAAATGCTCTTTTATCCCATAAAAGATGCCACGTCGAGCGATTTAGCCGATTTTCACTTACAATCTCCCCGCACGGCGTGTCTTTTTTCCACCTTTAAATTGTTGCTATGGTTTTGAAATTTTCTGAAGTGTCACATACTTTATAGTAAATTACGAAAAAAATGACAAAATTTACCTCGCTACTTTCAAAATGCTCCCTTTTCCCCTTCAAAGCGGCCACATCATGCGATTTCTTCGATGATTTTTCATAACATTCTCTCGGCACGGTTTGCATGAACGAGATTAAATTTTTTGAAGAGTCAAAAGCAAAAATTCTTCAGATTCTAGAAGTAGAGTGTCTGCCGAGTCATTTAAACCAAAAATAAACAATTCTGTTCAGCTGCTGGAAAACAAGTCGACTTAAAGGTATTTCGAAGCTAACATGCAAATGAACGATATAAAGGACAAATCGGCTAAATCGCTCGACGTGGCATCTTTTATGGGATAAAAGAGCATTTTAAACTGAGCTATGTAAATTTCATTATTTTTCTCGTAAAGTACTCTAAACAGTGTATAATCTCTAAAATTTCAAAGCCGTAGAAACATTTCAAAGGGAGGAAAAAAATTCGCGAAACGACGAAAAAACGCGTCTTCGCACGCCACGCTCGGAACTTCAGGCTCTTTGAGACGCGTTTTAAGACATTTTTCTCTCAATTTTTATTTTTCCCCCGTTATTTTCTCATTAAATGAAACCATTTGCAGGGTTCCGCACTTTAAACTCCGTAAATTCAAAAGTAAGGGCCACCCTACACGAGTAACCTCTTCTGAAATAGCAATGTTGACCATTTTGGCGCCAAAAACCGGTACTTTACGTGGGGCGCAAGGACTCGATCGACTTGAAACCTTTTCTGACGATACTAGGGCATGCTTCTTGAAACATTGAAACCAAAAATTAGAGATTTTAGTGTTACTATCTTGATAGCGTGCGAGTTGCCAAAAGAGCCATTTTAACCGTTTTGGCGCCAAAAAAACCATTTTTTCGGTGGAACGCAGCACGCGTGAAGGCTTGAAATTTTTTTTGGTAACAACTGGGTGTATTACCTACATTTTACGGCAAAAAAAAAAAAAAAATGTATGTGTCCTCATTTTTTTAAAAACCGCTAAAATCTGAAAAAAAATTGGAAATTGACGATTTTTACGAATTTTTTTAGGGGCCTAAATAAAATACGATAAATTTGATTTTTTTACCCAAGAATCTGACTGGTTTGATGTGTAATTGGTGAAATTTTGGTGCATTTTTATCGAAAATTGCGAGAGATACGAAATAAAACGTGAAAATACCCCAAAATTCCCCGAAAAATGGGTTTTTCGGAGCTGGAGGCGAGGGGGGGGGGTGGTTGGAGCCAGGAGGGGAAAATTGCCCAAAAGCATGTTTTTAGGACCTCTTGAAAGGGCTTAGACCATTAAATTCAAAATCCGTGAGGAGGGGCATTTTGATGCTCTTACCCAGGGATACCCTTTACTTACCCGATACTTTCAGAATATTAAGTAAAAAACACAAGGTTTGGTGACCCATTGGAAAGGTCACCGTTCATTGGACAAGTTCTATGTTTCAGATTCTATGACCCCTAGTTCGATGACCAGTTCGATGAGTCTACCGTTCACCCACCACCAGCTAGAGCTATTGGAGGCGACACATCGAGCCCTTCACAAATTCCTACCCCGACACCACGACGAAATGGAGATCGAGATCGGTGACCCCATCTACGTCCAGAAAGAAGCTGAGGATCTTTGGTGTGAGGGTGAGTCGACTGAACCTTAGTCCCAAAGACTCGGGAGTTTGAGACCCCCGAAATACAAGACAGAACATAAACAGAAAACGAAGGAGTGCAAGAAGAGCCCAAGTAGCGCAGATTGTGATCAATTTAAATTACACGGTGACATTCATAGGCGGTTCTACGGGGGTGCCAGTGGGTGCCGGGCACTCCCAAGTAAAAGTACGGTTACCGGTACCGTGAAATAGGCTTTTGGGCAAGTCAAAACGTCGAGAAAAAATCGTATGATGAAGCGCAAAAAATTGGCAATATTTTTATTTTATGAATTTTTGAAATCTGCAAGTGTCTAGTATTCAATAGATATGGGCAAGGGATGATGGGAGGAGGGGGGATCTCGTCATTTTCCACCTCTGGGCATCCCCAAGCATGAAGGTCTAGAACCGCCTATGGTTGCGGGCCTCTCTTATCTTAGCTGCGCAACGGAGAGTGTCCTGCGAGCGGACCGGTCATCGTGGCCTCGACAAATGCGTTGCCCGCCACGGATTTTAATGCCGAATAAACAGCCTAAGGTTTCATGAATTGGACTATAAATGGGAAAATGATGGACAAACTAAAGTTAGTAGTTGTAGTCTGCAAAACTGGTTCCTCGGACTGAAAACGTCGTGAATTTCCTCCTTCCGACAGGCGTGAATCTGCGAACGGGCCGTCAGGGGATCTTCCCATCGGCGTACGCAGTGGATCTGGAGTACGAGGAGTTCGACTCGGGGTCGGCCGGACCCAAAGTCAAGCGGGAACGCTTCCTTATCGGCTACCTTGGTTCCCTCGAGACCCTCTGTCACAAGGGCAATGCCGTCCTCAACCAGGCAGTCAAGAAGATGACTTCTTCTCAGCAAAAGCCACAGTCCTGCATCCTTGAGGTCTCCGATCAGGGGTTAAGGATGAACGACAAGACCAAACCCTCGGTAAGCCCCGCTCTTTATTACATGAACTTCGTCTTGCACCAAGAACCGCTACTTCCGGCCTGGTGTCCGGACTTTTCGGCGCAACCGTTTCGGCGCCATTTCTGAGAAAATGGCAGATTTGACGGAGGGAACGAGGAAAATTAGGTAAAAATAGCAAAATCTTAGCGAAACCAGACGAATATGGTGGGAAAACGGAGTAATAATGATGAAATTTCAGAGGTGAGAGATGCATGCAATTCATAAAACGATAGCCACAGTTCAAAACCACGTATCTCTATTGAAATGTTTCAAAATTTTAGCTTCTACTAAGTTTTTGAAGAAGAAACTAGCCAAATGCTTTACCTGAAATTTTCACTGAATATTTTGCTAAAAGTGCAGAAACATTACATAGGGTAGTTTTCGGGAAATAAGATTGAATGATATACCAAAGAATAATGAAGTATAACAAGGAGTCTGCAACATCGCGAACGGAGAAACGTGGGTTTGCACAATGGCCAACGATATCAAGATCATTTAGGTAGTCGAGAAAAAGATGTCTCCCTCGAAACAGAAAGCCACAGTCCTGCGTTCTCAAGGTGTCCGACCATCAGGCTGATTATTAAAATCGATCGACAAAATTTTGTCGATAGATTTTAATAATTAGCCGATAAAAACGCGAATATTGGAGCGAGCTCCTGTACGGGCTAATGGATCCAAATGACGGAGCTCAATCTTGCTATCTGGGAACGATGGCGAAGGAGAGAGGGAAAATGGAACGATCCTATTGATGACCCGACAAAGGTGAGTAATAGACTAACGAACGGCGACCCACGAGAGACCCAATGTCAGTCAATCATTTGGACAAGTATGCTAATAGGAACTTTGCTGCACGCAAATCCTATGCACGTAGTTTCCTTTAACCTCGTGCGTCCATTTTCACCTGAAGTCATCAAAACCACTCGTTTCAACCAATGGGATCGCTTAGCACCTTTTGTCTTCTTTGTCTATCGCTTTACCAATCAATTGGACGTACTCATGCTAAAAGGAACTATGCGCATAGGGTTTAAGTGGATAGTTCTTTTAAGAATAAATGCGTCAAAATTCAATAAATTAGGCCACAGAACTCGCGTCAGAGCGAAAAGAAGTTTCACTAAATACCTATTATCTGATGTTTTTAATAATTTGATTGAGGTGTTCGAGTACTTAAATGCACTCCAATGACAAATGTTCAATGACTACCTACATTTTTTTCCCCCCTCAGCAAAAGAGTAAACAGCTGCCTTGCCACGACTACTTCTACGCGCTGAAGAATGTCACGTTTTGCGCCTTCCACCCCGAGGACCATCGCTACATGTGCTTCATCACCAAACACCCCCAACTCCAGCGATTCGCCTGCCACCTCTTCCTGGCCACCGAATCAACGAGACCAGTCGTCGAATCAGTTGGGTTCGTATCTATTTCTTACCTCTTCGTTCAACTTGAATTGGAGGTAGGCCGTAGAATTTCAGCATCGGAAAAGTGCGAGTCCACGAAAAAATGGACCTTTGTCCATGGATAACGTAGGTAACGATCACATGGTCAACAAAACAAAAACTGGATGGACGCATCTTTCCTGGGGAAGGGGAAAAAAGAGGTGAAGAATGAAAAAGTGGAAGAGAAATAGGTACAGATGGAAGTAGAAAAAGAAAGAGGAGAAAACGCGAAAAAAGGCAGGGAAAAAATCGGAAGGAAAAGAAGAAAAATGGTTTTTCTTTTTTTAATTGCATTTCTTTTCTTCTCCTGCTTTTTCTTTCCCTTCTGTTCTATTCGTCCTCTTTCTATGCTTTGCCTTCTTCTCGTGATTTCTCTTTTCCTTTATTTTATCTTCCCCTCTTCCTCTTCTTTTTTCTTTACTTCTTCTCTGTCGTATTTTACTTCCTTTTTTTCTCATCCTTCATGCCCGTCTTGTTCCTTTCCTTCCATCCTCCTCTTCCTTTCCCTTTCCTTCTTCCTATCACATTTCCTTCTCTTCTTTCTCCTACTTCACTTCCTTTTCCCTGCCTCTCTTTCTTCCTCCTCTTCCTCTCCTTCTTTTTGCTTAATTATCTCTGCTTCTTCCTCCTTTATTAATTTTTCGTCTACTTCTCCTTCTTTCTCTCCTCCTACATTCCTGTCTTACAATGGCAAATGCATCCTCGTCTGATATTTCTACGGAGTCTTATCAAGACCCCAAACTAGTGAGCAAGAAAGGAGATTCACTACTCTGATCGACAAATCATACTTGATAGACTTTCGTTTGTGAATATTATTTCAGGTTCTTACTTAATTCTCTATTTTTTTCTTTTCTTTCCAGTCGAGCGCTCCAGAGGTTTTACGAAAAGTACATAGAAACTGCATATCCAGTAGAAGAAATTTATATTGAAGATGAGTTTTAAGCTTGGCGACTCTCCTGCTTTGATATACCGTACCTAATGATGGTCTGTCTGAGCCACTGTGTATAAAGAGTTTTGCCTGATTATAATTTTTATCTCTTAATTTTTATATGGTGCTTAAAAATTGTGAAGTTTTTTTCTGCTGATTGAGGGAAAATTTAATTCAATTTATCGATTAATAATTACTTAAATTGTTTGAAAATTGATTACTCGAATATATTTCATCAATTTCAGCAAGAAGGCAAAGAATCGAACCGATGACGGGAAATTTTTTTACAAGTGTTAGTTTGAAGAAAACCCTTACAATCTAATACTCCTAAATGAATGAGCTCTTTTATCAACATTTTTCTAAAGTAAAATTTACTTGAAAAAGTCTTTGAGAAACTACCTACCGTAACTTTAGTTGAGTTTTTTTATCACCTCTATTGGAAAAGTCAAAACTGCAACAGATCTTTCAGTAATTTTGTCTCTCGAGAATTTTGCTTTAAAAATGTTGAAAAAAAATTCCTTTTCAGTAAATATCAACGGTCCCTTTGAAGGCTTCGTTTTCCAAACAAATCTACAAGTCTTCTTAGTATCTCCAAAAATTACCGCCTACTTAGCGTTTTCGATCTTCGTTTTCCTTTGGGCACAAATGTGGGTTCCTATACTCCACCTTACAAGCTGACCTTGTTACCCTGAATATAGAATACTCACTGAATAGTCTGTATGAAATATTTTCTAAAAATGCTGCATGAGAATATTCCCTTTCGCATGAACCTAAAGCATTAATCTGAAATATTCTCAAAATATTAGCTACCGAACATATTTGGAATATTCGGAAGACCTATGCCGTTAAAAATTCAAAGAGCATTTGGTAAGAATATATTCTGCTGAAAAATATTCTGAGAAGATTTTAATAATTTTTATGGTTCTTTGAATACTTAAGAGTGCAGCATTTATCCGATGTTTTTCAAAGAACCCTGTCAGAACATTCTAAAGAATACCCGCAGAGAGGGTGCATAGATAATTCTTTCTAGGTATTTGCTGGTGAATGTTCGGAGCCACGATAATGAATGTTCCACTACAAATACATTTCAGGTTGGTTGATATCGCAGAAGAGGCTTCATACATTGTGTAAATAAATACTATGGGCACACAATACTCGCTACGCTTAATAAACCTTAGTCTTGTGCGCTCCTGTAGAATGTAAATAATTTAGCCCCTGGCGGCTATCTAAGAGATGTAAAATATGTAAAAATTTACTAATAAATCAAGTACCATAAACTCGTGAAAGAATAGCTATTAAAGCAATCTGGAGATTCTGCTGCGTAATTATTTTTACCTATGCCTATTTTTGGCTCTAATTTACATTCTTTTTAGTAAAAATTTTAACGAATTCTTGGAGAATTTGATAAGAAAAGTCCCATACCTAATATCTGTATAATTTTCAGGATTTCCTCTGTTTTGCGTGCCTCTGGGTTCATCTCAAAATGTAGGCACATACATACTTAAACTGAACTATTCAGACGTAGAAGAACTTTTTACAATAATTTTAAGCAACTTAATGCCTTTTTTATAGAATTGTCTTTACGAAAAAACTTGGGTCACTTCCACAGAATGTTCAAATTTTATCTTATTTTTTTAATAGCATTGCTCTTGTCCTAATGACACAGAGCGTAAATTACACCGTGTTTGACAGCATTTCCAGTTTGTGATCCTCACCCTCTCCCTCCCTTTGCCCATAAAAAGAGACTCAACCCCAAATTCTTCTAAATTCAAATAAAATATCTTGATTCCCTTTTTTCCTCTCTATTTCATAACAAACTAGCCCGTGCGTCAATCATGATGTAAATGCACAATGCCGCCGCATTTCTTGGCATAAGCTTGCTCAAAATGTAGATTCGGAAAGAGAATTGGCAGGAAAAGGGGGAAAAGCTTATTCCTAACTTTCTGTTTTTTTCATAAATAAAATTTCTGAGACCTACTTTTTTCCTTCCTGTTTTAAGACATGAAAAAATTGTTTCTTGTGTCAACCACACTGTAAATTCCACACAGCTTTTACGCAGTTGTTTACGTAAACTTGCTCAAAAAGCAGAGTTCACTTCCTCGACCGCTAGAGTTGACGCACTCTTGAAAACAAAAAATTTAGCCTCGATTTCCTGGATTGTTGGGAACCTTGAGAGAAGGGTGAAGCGGAAAAATTAGAATTAAAGATTACTGAACCATAGGAAAAATTGTATTCATGAAAGATGGATTATGAAACCAAAAAAAACGAACAAAACAGCAAAAATCATACACTTACAATACAGATGATGAAAATGACGGCATTAAAATTAATATCACACTCGGAGAGGCTGTAAAGGGTAGATTGGAAATCGGCGGATAAATGAAGGGGTTCCACACGAGAGACGCAGCAAACCAAGTAAGTAGATTTATCGAGTAAAATACGCGAAAAGGGACTGCAAATCTCCTGCTTATCATAGAAACAACAGAAATTCAGTGTATAACTGCGGAAAAATTACATTGAGTTTACCGGAAATGGTGAAAATACAGTATTACACACGATTTGCGTAGTGTGGTGTAATTCTTCGAGTCTGCAAGCGCTTTTTACAAGGTCTTCAACGACCAACTTCGCCAGGAAATTCTATTTGCATCTCTACCTCGGGAAGCATGATTACAGATAGCTACCTAGGAATGAACTGTTTATTAGTACCGGCAACAGGAAAAAGCGGGATACAGCCTACACAAATAGTAAGTTAAAAAGAGGACTGAAGAATTTTCTAATTTGCTCAATGCGATTTCCAAGCAATTTCACCAGAGACGAGTAGAGACTCTCGATTAATATCTTGGCAATTAACAGTGGAAGTTCTTAATTTCGGGACCCCAACATTCTACTGTTGACTTTCTACTGGGTGGATGTTGAACAACGTGTTGAGCATCCTGCAAAAAAACCGAAGTTTGGTAAACTATTTTAGCTCATTACCTGAAGCTCATCGTTCAACTCGTGAGTAGGGTGACCATTGCTGCCTCATACTTAACCATCCGTAAGGGTTGAATTCTCAAAGGTAAAAGTTTCTGCCTAGTGAGTTTCTCATCGTCTCTGGATTTCAATTGGGAGAAGTTGTCTCATGTTGCTGTGTCTCTCGGTGCGTGTTCGGTGGGCCCTATCGACTACATATTCTTGAAATCGCCGGCTCCGTCAAGCATCATAATGTTAGGGTTCTCCTTTTCGAAGTTGGTTGGCTCTCGCTCTCGTTCGTCCTTGCCCCATTCGCCCAGCGTTTTCATCACGTCCGGCTGTTTCTTCCGCTCCTCGTCTTCTTTCTTGAAGGACAGAGATAAAAAGAGACATTTTAGATAAAATTAATAACACAAACGATTAGATGTGGAAAATCTCGCTCTTTTCAATGGACACTCCTCTGCATTTTCCCAATTTTTAGACATATTATCTTACTAGTATTATCTTACGTTTACCGAGTTTCTCCAGACTCTTAGACGATCCTTTTTGTGCTAGAAGTAAATCATTTCCCCTGATTTTTCCCATTTCTCTACGATTTTACTTTATTCCCTTGAATTCGTCTGGAATTCCCACATGTTTTCTAATTTGTCTTGCTTTTTCCAGATTTCCAGTCAGTCCTTTTCTTTGATATTTTCCTGATTTTTTCCTTAAATCTTTCATTTTTTTCCTGATTCTTGCCAGAGTCCATGACATTTCCTGGTTTCCCTGATAGTCTCTTGTATTCTATGGTTATTCCAGGTTTTCCTCGAAATGCCCGAGTTTCTACTTATGATTCCCTAGATTCTTCCACTATACTCTGATAGCTCTGTTTTAAATGTATATAAATATTTTCCGGACTCCCTGGTAATCGCTTGTCAATTTCTTGTTCCCTAGTTTTCTTTGGTTTTCTCTCTTTTCTCAAAAATTTCCTTGATTTCATTGACATTTTCCTAAAGTTTTTACTTCCTTTAACTTTTGATGTTTTTCCCAACGATAGTTTGCTTCCTTTGTTTAGACTCAGATATTTTCCTCAATTCATCTGGTTTTCTCCAATAATTCTTCTGTTTCTCCGACACTGTCAGATTTTTTATGATTTTCTCTGCAATTCCCTTAAAATCCTTTCTTCACACTTGTTTTTCCCCTTTCCACCAAACATTCCCTCCCTTCCTAAACAATTATTAATTTTTCTGAATATTCCCCTTAATTCTTCCAAATGATTGAAAAGCAGGGAAGTAAAACGAAACGACTCCCTTGGATCAAGCAAAATCGACGATGGAACTACAAAACCACATATTTCATTTTGGAACATAATGTGTGCTCTGTTTTCAGTTTTATTTTCTTAAGCGACCCCTTTCTTAATTTCCATGAGAAATTCTAGGTAATTACTCTCTACCTTTTCCAGCATAGGTATTCTCACAAATTTCCCCCTGAATATTTTAGTTGATGATGGTACAAAAAAAGTTTCAGGCACAAATTTGGAAACACCAGATATGTCGATTTGTAGTTTCACCACCCATACTCACAAGAAAAAATGCAGAAAAGACGACTTACATGTCGGAAAGAATCGGGTCACATAACATAATTAGTATACCNCCCCCCCCCCCCCCCAAAAAAAAAACATCAAACTCTGATATATATGTATGCACCAAAAAAACGCGAAAGTCTCATGCTAGAAACAGGAGTAGAAGCAATCCTCGACAATTAACGACAAAAGGCACCCATGAAAATTTAAGTATGTGACTGTCAACTTGACGATGTAACGTGGTCAAATTTGGAAAAATTTGGTCAGATTTGGGCCAAATTTTAATTAAATTTGTATCAAATTGTCATCAAACTTTATCAAAATGGCATCAAATTTCCATCAAATGGATGTATTCACACCCAAGTCAGCTACCTCTATTGCGACATGAGCCTTGTCATGATAGAGTCTCATAATGTTATGGGTTTCATAGCCCTCGGCACAATGAAGATAGTTTTTTCTGATTAAAATACGTCCAATTCAAAGGCAAATTTTCTTAAAAATTTGTGAAAATATTCGTCAATTATTCATCAATCGAGGATTAAATCTATGACAGATGTAGATAAAAGTTTTGTCAGGTTTGTGCATATTTTCGGTTTTTCCAGAGCGTTGAGTTTTTTGCGTCACGTTGGTGTCAAATAGTAAAATTTCCTCCAGATAGTTGTCATATTTCTCTTAGATTAGGGTCAAATTATCGCCGAATGTCAAAAACTTGCGAGAATTGCAGCAGAGCAAAAAATAGATTCTTAGAGTTAAGCAGAAGAATTAAGCGTCTTTGAGAGAAAAGCAATCTTTTAGGTGATTTTCTTCCAACAATACAAAAGTTAACATCAAAACAAAGGACTTATCATGATTCAAAAATGCAATATCAGAAACGCGAAAAGAAGATGGAAGTTTGTTAACAATTTGGGTAACCTAATGATTAAACAAACAAAATAAATGAATAAATATACTTGAAAGTTGGAGATTATTTTCAAAAATTACTAAAAAAGAACAAATAAATTTTGCCCACCAAGAAAAGTGGCGATGGTTACCCAAAAATTACCAATAAACGAAGAAATTCTATCCACTTCATATAAAAGGAAAACAAACCTTAAACTTGGCAAAAATACCTATAAAAGTATCAAGTATCAAAGATTTTGTTCAAGACTAGAAAAAAATTCAAGAAAACAGAAAATCTTTCTTCTTAGAGAGGACGCCGTTTTAGGCCACTCTAATTTTTGGCACTTTCAAATAAATTTTTCTCCCGTTTGCAGTCATCAAAAAAATTTAGGAAAAAAACTGTAAGCTTCGGTCACTTACTACTTTCGAATGACACAATAAAAAAAAAAATGACTTAACTGACTCATCTTAGCAACATTGCAATGCTAGTGGTTCCTTTTTGCAAAATGCAATCCATATAATATTCTCTAATGCATTTACTAGACTTTCTTGTGCTCAAGTTTCGCCATTGCGCCTGGGAAATCATACACACGTTTCTAGGCTTTGGGTGGTACTTGTCACGTTTTATTTATTTGAAAGACAGTCATGGGTTTACTTACAAGTTCTGTACAATTCATCAGAATAGTTCTTTGAAAATTTCGCACTTGAAAGTCAAAATTAGTTTTTCTATAGGAAAGAAACCAAAAAGAAATCCAAACAAAGGACGACCTGTTAAAGTAAATTAAAGGAAACTCTACATAGCATGCTCATATACCTAATTTCTTTGCGATTTCAAGGGCTGGCAACGTTAAACATTTGAGAAATGCATTTCTCAATAAATACACTATGTCGCGATGAAAATCAGTGATAGCTTGCTTCATCAGCACGACAGGTAATGCTGGAATTCACTGAATGTGTGAGAAAGACAACCAAAGTTTCAGTTAGTGTCGCATGCGACGGGTATTGAAAGAATTTCATTATAAAGCCTGGATGCAACTATTTGGGCTCAATGATACAGAACGTTGAGATTTAAGAAACGGTTTCATTGATTTTCTCGTGGAATTTCCTTCGACAGGCACCCTTACACTCGGAAATAAGTTTTGTGAGAATAGGTCAGAAAATTCTCCAATTTTTTAACCAAAATTCTCGGGTTTATGAAAGAAAATTTTCAAGGTTTTCAAAAGACAATTGCTGAATTTTTGAAGGAAAACTGCTAGATGTTCCGAAGAAATTTCCCAATTTTTACGCAAATGGAAAAATGCAGAATTATCGAAGGAACATTACAGAATTTTTGGAAGAAAATACCTTGATTCTTTTGGGAAAACTCCCTAGTAACTGAGGAAGAGTTCTCTGATTCGGAAGTTTTGTGAAAAAAGCAAAAATTTTTCAAACTTCCTCTCATTTCAAAACTCCACACGCAAATTCTGTCACAGCAAACTTCCACACAGCATGCTTAACAAATTTGATGGGTGCTTACGAGATCAGTCGTTAGCACTCTTCTACTCGGTTAACGTTCGTTCTGCGTTCCCGTTGTCAGTTATTTTATTGTCATCCACTGTTATGTTTCCTTGTGTGTTCTTGCAGTCGTTATTTTCGTTCATCCCTGTTTTTTCCTTTTCACTTTCTGTCTTCTCCCTCTCGAGCTGTTCCTGGCGTTCTTTCTCACGACGAGTTCTGACTTCTGCAGCTTTTTTAGCAATGATCTCTCGCTGTTTCCTCTTCTCTTTCTTTTGCTCTTCATCATCTTCTGGGTCCGATTCGTACTTCTCGACATTAACATTCTTTCCGTCCCACCAACCAAACCGCCAATCTTTTTCCTGACAAACCGGGAAGCGTCACGAGAAAAAAGAAGAGAATAAACCACTTACATCAAATCATGGTGTCCGAGGCGTTTACTAATTTGACTAGCAAAAAATCGGTGCTTTTACGGCACTTCCTCAAAAAATTCAAAACCTCATCAGCAGTAAGATTCCGTACTTTTGCAATACTTCACGCCACAAAATTAAAAAAATTTTGAGAATTCGAACTCAGCCACAAATTCCAGATAAAATGACATAGGCAGGAAATTCGACTCTCATTGGTGGCCTGAAGATGCAGTGGTTGAACGATCGCAATCTAACGGGCAAATACGGCACTGAAAATCAATGCACAAGGAGTTGCAAACCTTCCAGGCAGTTTTAAAAATCTAGCAAAGCATGAACCTAAAAATTCTGGACCTTTTGGCAGCCTCTGTCGTGAAGTAATTTTTGCGGATTGCTTTCAAAACATCAGTACTCTTTCGGAACTTTCCAGATTAACTGGACTAGTAGACACCCTGTACCTAGATTTTCCTTTAATCAATTCCCCACCCTATTTTTCCGATTTCTAAAGATGAATTCTCTGATATCCAGAGGAAAAATCCTTGGATTTGAGGGGGGAAATTCTATTTAGCTAGAGAAAAATTCGTTTAATCCAGGGTAAAATTCCGTGTTATTCAGGGAAAAGTCCATAATCAAAACCTGCAGTTTCCTTCTATGATCCATCACATTTCTATTATCCATCAGATTCAAATTCCAGATAAAATGACATAGGCAGGAAATTCGACTCTCATTGGTGGCCTGAAGATGCAGTGGTTAAACAATCGCAATCTAACGGGCAAATACGGCACTAAAAATCAATGTGCAAGGGGTTGCAAACCTTCCAGGCAGTTATAAAAATCTAACAAGGAATGAACCTAAAAATTCTGGACCAAACTGCATTTTCCTGCAAAGTTTAGAGTAGAAAAAACAACTTTTATCAAAATTCATCGAATTTCTTGAATGTGACACTAGGAAGACCACCAAATGTTTAAAATACCTATTATAGTATCATAACAAAGAAATGAAGAATTCCTAGTCTATAGAACCATGTCTCTGCAAAATTCCCTGATTTTCCCCTGATAACTTCTGTACTGGGACGAATCTAGGTACTTTCCACTTTTCCTAGGACACCATGCTTTGATATCAATGAATTGATTAGAAATAAAATAATAGTGTAAGTAATGAATAATAATAGCATTTAAATAAATTAATTACCTATGATTCATTAGAAAATTTGGAATGATTTTCAGTCTTCGATTTTCATAGTTGAGAACAGCACAATTTTGATGGTGACTAGCAGGACCACAGTTGTACCTCATTTTGACGTTTCTCAAAATATCATCGTACAAAAAATGTTCCTTTTTCCCAGCAACAGCCAGCTGTTGCTTGTTACAACGTACTTCAAGTGACTTCTTACCAAAAGCAACATTCTAAGTTTAATCCCCCCTCGAAAATGTTACAATAAGATACAGCTTTATTTAGTTCTGTGACGTGAAAGAGCTCACCTCTTGGTCTTTCTTGGCGAACTTTGCGAACATGTTCCAGTAAACTTGCTTCTCCTTCTCTTTTTGTTCTTTAATTTTCTTGTTGCACTGCGCAAGGGCGCTAGCGGCCGCTTTGTTCGAACTGTCAACTTTCAGGACAGCTTCAAAACTTTCCTTTGCCGCATCTGCATCCGACAAACCTAGATACGCCTGGAAAAGAGATGACCTTTTGCTATTAAAAGAGATACTTGTGTTCCTTGTTAATTTGCTCCAATATCCTTGGAGATGCCTTACAAATTTGGCTGATTTCCTTTTCGAATTTTATTTCCAGTTTCCCTGAAGTCCTTTACTTACTTCTCTTTGATACCTCTAACTGGTTTTCCTTCTCTTCTCTCAGTTTCCTCCGACTTCAAAATTATACCTAATTCAATTCAATTTTCTTCCATTTTTCATCATATTCCCTGAGTTAACTAACATTTCTCAGCACATTTCTCAGTTACTGAAAATGTGCCTTTGCCTTTCCTAATATTCACAATTTATTCTGAGTTCTTGATTTACCCATATTTTTCAGTGCCCCTTCTCAGAATTTCTTCTCACTCAATTATTTCTGAAATTCATCAGAATCTTTCTTTTTTCCCTGTTTTATCCGCTTTTTCTTCGTTTAACCTAATTTTCTCTGATTTTACCCAGATTGAAAATGCCTTTGTTATGTTTTCCTTTTTTTTTTCTTCTTTTTTCTTAATTGTATCCAGTTCTCATAGACTTTCTCTCATTTGCCCTGTATTTTTAACTTTTTTTTGTGATTTTACAAACTTTTCTCTGACTATTCCTGCTGCTTATATAAAATTTATAAATTCTAGAAACCTTTTCAACAAGAATCACACCACACATATAAGATAAAAGAACCACAGTACCCCTTATAAATAGCATAAACAACATAAATCTATAAAAATAAGAATTAATAATAAATACAAGAAAAATTCTTGAAAAAATAAGACATAAAATGAAAAGTAAAATTAAAATCAGTGGATTAAACATTATAAAAACAACTAAAAAAGTCAATAACTTCAATCAGTTAACTGATAATACTAACTTTCTCAGAATCATTCTAGTTCTTCCAGCTTTTTGTCAAATATTCCCTGGTTTTCTTAGATTGTCAGTTATCCCAAATTTTCCCCATTATGAGCGTTCACAACGTTAGTAGTGTACGCTCTTTCCTGTTGTTTTCCATCGGTCGTGTCAATATTTTACCATTGATAAGGCCCGCGCTGCCCCATGGGTATCATCGCCATTTTTCGCGGCAGGAAGCAATACCTTATTTCTTGTTTTTTAGTTATCATTGCCACCTTTTTTCTCCTATCTTGTCCACTTTATGTAATCCTGGTAGGCATGTCTTTGATAAATTTTTATTCTTACGTCTTGAAACTCAGCAAAGTATATATAATTTCATTGCTGCTTCAAAGTTCCTTCAAATACGTGTCGTCGTTTTGCTGAAAAATCTTTAGGTGCAAAGTACCCATTCACTACATAAAATGACCCCTATACTTTACTTTATGATGACGTAATGGAAGAGAGACCGCCATTATCTCACTTCAAATTGTATTAATGAAAATACAAAAGTAATGGCCATTGTACAGGGTGGAAATTGTTCTGGAGGACTCATTAAGACTATTAAAGCCAAAATTAGAACTTCATTAGACGATTGATTGATATAATTAATGAAAATCCATATACTGTAACCAGCCAAGGTCACCCTATACGCTACTATGCATGGGGAGAATTCAGCCAAACACTGAACTGCTGCGAGAAAATAAGCCTCGCCCTCAAGCAACGAGCGGCACCGTCTGCTTGGCTCACATGTGGCAATTTCTGGCATTCCTTCACTGGGCCCAGTTGACGTAATGGTTAACGCCCCCAGCATTGATGTGCATAATGGCGAGTTTGTATCCCACCGCATCATCATAATTTTTTTTTTTTTTTTTTTTTTTTTTTTTTTTTTTTTTTTTTTTTGGTGATTGTATTTTACCTTTCACAACAATCACCAATGAAATAATAATTGACTATTTAAGTCTCAATATATATTTCTGTGATTGCCTGAACTAATTGTTTTATCAATCAGTGAGATAATAAACTATGGTGTGGAACTAGGGTGAGGTGTGCTGTACGTTTGGAGAGCAATCCCTTCATTCGATTCAGATAACAACTTTTTGTGAACTATACAATCAGGCAGATTTCCAACATCGCACGGTGGATTGAGTCAATGGGAAAGGTCGGTCATGGAGCGTTGCGCTTCTAATTTTACAAGGATAACGTGTATTCCTGGTCATTTGATCGATTACATACCAAAAATCTCATGTAATTTTTTGCATAAAATTCATTTTTGATGTTATTTTTGGTGAACAACGAACCTGAAGACCCATTTTTGTGCATTTTGTCAAAAAAACTATACATGTGCAAAGTTTAGGCGTCTGTGTTTTACTTTGTAGGACGGAGTTTTTAATTTTTCATGATGAAAGAGGATATTTTATGAATGAAATTATGAAAACTTACAAATTAGTGTCACAAATACACAAAAATACCTACCCAAATATGAGCTGCTGCATTAGATACATCATTCCCTTCACAGCAAAGTTAATTTCGAAGCTTTGTCATAAGATATCATTCTTATGCATAAGGATTGGTGAAAAAACAAATAAAATACAATTATGAATTCTTTGAAAATACTCAAGATCACTTTTACTTTAAATTCATATTTACATTTAGAGGACGGCTCAGGGACTTAGAGTAGGAAAAACACTAGATGGCTCAAAAAAAAGAAAACACGTAACATGACAGTCATCTGCTTTTCCTTATTCTCCTTCTTCTTCATATTCAGTTCCCTATCACTCTCATCCTCACCTTCCACTCTCAAACCGCATCATACTTAAAAAACAAGCAACCCAAAAAACTGCAAAAATTCCAAAATTTGCCGGACTTGTAACATAAAAACGTACTCGCAGTGTAATTAGTTTCGCACTAACTGCACTTCGATTAGATCGAAAAAGGTGAGAAATTGAAAAAGTATGTACGTATTTGAGAGAAGCATCAGTTATCAGAGTTCACCGGTGACCGGAGGCCAACAGATGAAATGGCATCATAGTCAGGGGCCAGGCAAGTAGAGGGGGGGGGCGCTTTTCCTATTAAGAGTTTCCTCAAGCTATCTACGCATACGTCCCAAAAAAACTTTCTAAGGGATATAGAGCACGGTGCCCCTGAACTCACTTTAAATGCGACTTTGTTGTACATCAAAAATTCAAGTTGGAGGTTGTAGTGGGGTACTCCCTGATGGGTTTTTGGGCAATTTCGAAATAGGTTGTCGGAGCTCCTCGAAAAATAATCGCATTTTTGTGGTTTCTTAGGGGTAAAATAGCAAAATTGGCCTC